GAGTTCGAAAACAACGTCAATCTATAGATTTAGTCAAGTTTGAAAATATAAATTTTTCTCTTGATTCGACATTGGATGTCCTCTGATGAGAGAAGATCCTCAATTGATTCACGTTGTTTGAACTAATATTTTGTGTACAGATGTAGAAATTGATTCTAGAAATAAGCCTATGTTGACTTCGGCTGATGTGCCTTCTTTCCATTGATATGAATATATTCATTCATTATATAATAACTGCCTTAATTTCCCACAAGTTACAATTCTATAATCATGAGCAGATGTAGATATGAATCAGTCTAAGATTACAGCGTTTGTACTAAATTGTTGATTTACAGCTATTTTTTTTTGAAAAACAATATTGAATTAAAGAATGTCAATCTGAAAATCTAATTGTTCTTACATTATCTTAAACGTTTCGCCTAAAGTAAATGTTTCTCTTCCGCCTTAGGATGCCTCTCTGATAAGTTGTCTTTATATGAATTCTTTCTTATTTTTACACTGAGAACATTTATATCCATCAAAAAGAAGCCATATACACCAAAATCTCTTTAGGCTTTTTAAAATAGGGTTTCTTATATGTATCCAAAATGTCATCAAAATAAGTCGTGGATCACTTGAGGATCTTTGTTCGCTAACATGTATATGTATATATAATTTTTTTGCTTTTTTTAAAGATTGGCGAAATCTTTATGAGGCGAGCGTTCAGTCATTACAATCAGATGATGACGAATCGAAGTCTCTAACACAACAACCATTTTATCTTAATAAACAACCCTCTATCGAAAATCCTCCAAGTAAAAAAAAAAAAATAAAAGTCATCTGGTTGTTTTTTTCCTTTTTTTTTTCTATTAATCTATGTATAGAAGAAAATCCTCGTTCACCAACTTTTCAAGCTCAATCAGATTCTAATGCAACAAAATCTAAATGGGCAATACGTCTACCTGAATTACTTAATACTACTGTTGGTCCAGATCGTCAAGTAATTCAATTAAAAACAAAAACCAGAATTTTGATATCCTTCTTAATTCTTCTTTTTTTTTCTTTTTTATTTAAGAAACGTGATCTTTCTCGACGACATACAACTGCTATTGTTTTACAACAGGAACAACAACAAAAACCATCTGCATCTGCTCTACAACATACAAATGTAAAATAAATTGTCTTTTCTTTTTCTTTCATATTAACCAATATTATTTCTCATTTATTCTTAGTTAAATTCACTTTCACAATCTTTTCCTGCACCCGAAATGTCGAATAATGCTGCTGATGATCGTCCATCAAGTCCACTTGTTAAACATTTAAGACAAAAATTTGATCGAATGACAACAAGTAATTTAACAAATGAACATAGTAGAATTCAATCACAATCACAAAGTGGTCTATCAAAAATACATCGAGTAGGAAATGATGAAGGAGATGCTGCTTATCCGCTAATTCCGGTTGGTTGCTTTTTAACATAATTTTAGTTTTGTTTTGCTTCTAATTTAACTAAAAGTTTTTTTCTAACAAAAAAGAAAATTTCTTCATATATTTTAATTGATTATTTGTTTCTATACGAAAAGGATGATGACAGTGATGATAATGAGGTAAATTTATAACATTCTTTATCATGACATACAAACGCAAAAAGGTGATGGATATTAAAAAAAACATACTTCAGATTTGTTTTATTTTGTTTCGCACGTATTCAAATATTAGCTTTTGCTTATTGATCATATTGAATATTTTTTCATATCACTCATTTTCTTTGTTCATTTAGGTCGCTAGCCTTACATGTCGAGGATTAACATCAAATAGTGGTGAACGTCCAACACAAAGACCTCGTCCTATGTTACCAGTTCGATTATCGAGTAAATAAATACATATGTTGTTTTTTTTTCTTGTAATCAAAATATTTAAAAAAAAAAATATTTACATATTATTAGCTCAAACAAATTCAACACGCAGTGAATCATTAGATAATAATCATAATATGGGAACAAACAATGATCGTCATCAAAAAGGTAAAACAAGTGCACCAATAAATTATTCAAAACACTTCTATCCCTCACGTTCAACAACAACAGTTGTAAAAGATATAATAGGTGGTGGTGCGACACTTGTTTATGACAGTCAGACACCCGATAAAACACTGCATACACTTACTTCTTCTACTCCTACTGCTGCTTTGCTTCAAAATGATTATTATCCAAATCATCAATATCAACAACAACGCAAAGAGCATGTGCGAATCGAACAAACAAAACAGAGCTTAAAAACTAATCTAATTAATAAAGATAATACTAACAAAAACCTTTTAACACTAACAGGAAGACAATTACAATCTAAATCTCCTTATAACACAAAATCAATTAATACTAAAACACAAAATCACATTGTAAGTTTAATACTAATATGTTTTTATTATATAAAATGAATTTGTTTTAGAAATTAGTTATTGAAGGGATGAGTGGAAATCTTCTAGACAAAATATTTGACAATTTATCGTATAATTAATGGTATCTCCTCTCTTTTTAACTATTTCTGGTTCTTGAAGGAGGTAAAACCGATCCACATGAAACTCTTCCGAGGTGAAATCGGTCATTTTCTTTTTTTACCTCCTTAGCCAGATTTATAGAGCCCTAAACATCACTAATTCAGTTTTGGATCCGAATCTTTACGTATTCCTCTCATAAACACGCAATGTTCTTGAAAAAACTTACAATAATACAATATGGTTCTATGGAAAACCAAGGTTTTCTGAAAATTTTCTCGAACACATGTTTTGTTATTTTAGATGCTCTATCTATGATAAAAATTACATGTGGATTAGTTGTACCCTCTTCAAAAACTAGCAATAGTCAAATAAAGGGCCTGGCGGGTACTCTTAAATGCAGTGAGAAAGACTGAGAAGTAGTACATTAGAAGCAGAATTTTGTGCTCTTTCAGAATATATGCATACAATTTTTCCGTAAGTTTTGACTATTGGACTATAAGTAAATCTTGATAAGACTCACAATTTTTGTTAGGCTTTTATAACGCTTATCGTAAGAAAAAATGGCTAGTTTTCGATTTTCACTATAATGACCCTCCTTCACAATATTGCCATTTTTTTAAGTAGATTAACTAAAACTCTTCATTATTGCGTCATTTTATAGAATACAGATCATCCTTGAAGTATTATATATTTACAGAACTTAATTGATGTCTGCGGAAAGCAGACTTGCCTTGAGAAAAATAAGTTTTTTGCCTCTTCAGAAGTTTTTTTTTGTTCGAGCCTTGTCAGGATTTACTTATAGCTCAATAGTCAACAGCCATAAAAAAACAAATTCGAGGTGTTTACTCTAAAAAAAAAACAAAATTCTAGTTGTGAATGCACTACTAATGCATTTAAATAAGTGAAAAACTTGTCAACTAATTAGTCTAGAAAGTTTCAGTCCACCACTTATACTAAGAGAAAGATATTTTATTGTTCAGCAAGATAACACAATAAAACCAATGCAACACAGAGAGAATCTAAGCTTTGATTCACTCTTGTTAATTTTGCTTTTAGTTTATTTTGTATAGTTAATATAATTTTTTTGAAAATGGAACTATTATGATTTTGTTTTTATTTTAGGCAAATAGTGATGACGATGAAACGAAAGATCAACAATATTTAATATCCGCCAAAGACTCTCTAAATCGATCAACATCTATGTCAGATAATTTTTCTATTTCAGCAAAATCTTTACAACAAATATCTAATGGAACTTCTTTGGACTCAAATTTACATTTATCAACAAATTGTTCAACAACGCCGATTGTAAGAAAATCTGTTCTTGCTCGTGCTGAACTTTGGGATCGTCGTATAAGTACAAATGAAAATGAAACAAATACTATTCTATCACCATATGATATTGAACAATGGTCAACTGAATTTGAAAAAATACAAAATCTAAATTAAACAAGAAACATTTTGTTTTTTGTTTTGAGTCTCGATTGTTTCAACCTTTTTTTTTTGTCTCCTTTACTTTCCTTTATCTGCAGTTCTATTTATTTTTTTTTTATGTTTATGTTTTTTTTTCGTTCTAGCCAAGTAAACGAGAGAGAGAGAAAGAGTAGATTATACATATTCTTCTTGTTGGTTGATATACAAAATGATTCTCAAGGTTATGGACAATATAAAATAGGAAAGGAACAGCCGGTTGTCTTATTTGGGCCTAGAAAATAGACATTGACGACGAAATTCTTTTTTTTCTCTCTTCTTTCTTGATAGAAAAAAGCGGCAAATATAGATGGAATAAAGGTCTGTTGTTGTTTCTGATGATGAGTAGCAGAAAAATGCTTGTTTGCTTAGACGCATGTATATGTGACGTATGAATATAGACAGAATAAACTCATTCATGCTATTGCCTTCGCTGATGATAATGCAGCTTTTTCTATATGTAATATTAGATCATCGATAGGATAGTACCATAGAAAAAGAAAAGAACTATATGTACATATAGAACAAGCATCGGATTTAGGATTCCTTTTTTTTTCTTTCTTCTTCTCGGAGGTGCTAACGCTAGTAAGATACACTCAAACAGTCTTTCTTTGGCTTCCTTGCCTTTTTCTATCTTGCCACGAACAACAACAACAGCAAGAAATACAACCGCATCATCTATTGTTAAAAATATCCAAGGTATAGAACAAAATTATGCACTAGACAATTGATAAATTATAAAAATCTAACAGAAGGAAAAAAACATGAGCATATTGAGTAATCTTTTCTTCTAGTATTATTTATGTTAGCTATCATTGTCATTATTTATTCTCGACCAATTGTTGTTTTCTTTTTCTTGATTGACCGTTGGGATGTATGGTCAGGAGATGAGATAATATACTATGAACGTATATATATCCACTTATCGAAGCTTATCATGTTACAGCAGGAGTTCATGCATGTATAATCATCACATCATTCTATTTGTCCTTGTTTTATTTATCCATATAATGTAAATATTTTCCGGTTGACTTTGTTTTTTAGGGAATCAAAGATGACTGAAGCCATTCTAGCTGTAAGTTTTAAGTTTTGCTTCTTTTATATACTATATTATTTTCATCATAAAAAAAAAAATAGAGCCGCCTTCGTGATATTGAAGAAGAAATGAGAACTGAACGAGATGTACGATACCGTCAGGAAAAGGAATTTACAAGTTTACGTATTGATTTTGACGAACTTGAACAACAATTAGAAGAAATAACAAATGCACGTGATCGAGAAATTGAAATTAATAAACGGTAAATATTCAAATTCTTAAAATAAAATATATCTTATAAAATAAATAAATTTAGTTTAAGACAAGAAAATCATGATTTACGTCAAAGACTTGAACTTCAAGCAACCGAAAGTGATGAAAATCAAAATGGACTTCGTCGTCGTTTTCAAGATACTGTTTCGGATTTAACAAGTCAAGTTGAAGCCTTAAGTAAAGGAAAAGCAAGGTAATTTAAATTTTATGTATTTTTTCTTAAAATTTGATTGTTTGGTTTTCTTCTTTTGTTCAGACATGAAAAGGAAAGCAAAACATTTATCGTCGAAATTGAAGAATTAAAACTTGAAGTTGAATCAGTAGCAAAAGCTAAAAGTCAAGCAGTATCAATGAGTAAAGAACTTGAAGGAAAATTAATTGAAATGGGTGGCAAAGTTGATGATGCCATACGACAATTAACTGAAGTTAATGCAGTTAAATTACGTCTTGTTGAAGAAAATTTAGCATATAGTCGTCGAATTGAAACAATTGAATTTGAACTAACATCATTACAAACAGTTTATAGACGAACACAAAGTGATCTTGAAGAAGCACGTCTTCATTTAGAATCTGAAATGGCTGTAAGAATAAACAAAAAAGATCAGTATTTTATTTTATTTTACTAATTTTTCTTTTGTCGTTGTTTTATTAAGACAAATCGTACATTACAATCAACAGTAAAAACTTTTCAAATGGATTTAGAATCAACAAAATTACAATTAGAAGATGAAATTGAAGCTAAAACTGAATTACAAAAAGTTTTAATTAAAATACAAGAAGAAGCACGTCTTTCACGGGATCGTTATGAAAAAGAACTTGAAGGAAAAAATGAAGAAATTGAAGATCAAAGGTTAGATGTCTATTTTAAAAAAGGAATACTTAATTATTTTATTCTGTTTTTTTTTAATTTTTTGAAATTTAGACGTAAATTCAATGCACGTATTACTGAAGTTCAAGAACAGCTTACTGAAGTCCTTGCTAAAGCAAGTAATCTTGAAAAAATTAAACAACGTCTTCAAAGTGAAGTAGAAAAACTTGCTGATGAAGCTGACAAAGTAAATCAAATAGATTAAAATTTAAAATAGAACAGAAAAAGAGTTTTTTTCTTTAGCAACGTAAACGAGCAGATGAAGCTGTTCGACGTAATAAACAATTAGAAAAAGAAGTTGATGAAGCTCGACAACGTTTAAGTATAATAAGTGCCGAACTTGAATCAGCTTTACAAGCTAATCGTAATTATCAAAGTGAATTGGTCAAAGTTAAAAGTTTAAATGAGCAACTCACAGAACAAATTGATATTATTACACGTGACAAGCGTCGTCTACAAGGTTTGTTTATAATTTTACTTTCAACAACAAAAATAAACGATTATTTAATAGACATAAGTCTACTTACTACTAGCAGCTTTTTATGAGACTTTCAATAAGAATACTCAGATTTATTCTAGTATACGAAGCATTGATTAAAATGAAAATTTTTGATTTTTTTATAGGTTTACGAATAAGTCGTTATCTAAAACCACAAACCTCAAATGCTTAGCTTATTTTGATGTTTCATAGTAAAATTAGCCTTGATAAACTTTTCAACACTAGCCGCCTACTATCAAGATAATAGTAATTAATTCTCTCATAAATGTCTACTAAGACTCCACTTTCACAGGTTGCAAAGTTTTTTCCTGAAGTAAAGCAAATCATAGATTATCTACCGCTGGAAAAAAATGAGCTATTTAAAATATTATATATCATTGATTTATTAAGCTAATATCGATGGAAAAGGTCACAATTTAGCAGTCTATAATATCTATTTCTTGATAGTATAATGTACTGTTATTCTTCGAAATCAAATGATAACAAGGTGAATTTTGTACATGTTATGCTATTTGGGATATTCTACAAAGTAGTAAAAAACATCTTGGAAAAAAAGATGTTTATCTTCGAGGTAATATAAGGCTTACAGTATCAATAGATATGTAAACGATCTCAAGAAAAACTATCTCGGACATTCTTTATTGTCTTTCATTCATAACAAGTTTCTTCGTGAAGAGATTAAGACTTCATCTTGGCCTGAATTATATAGACATTTCTTTGGAAAAGTAAACAAAAATATTCGATCTCCCCCCCCCCCCACCCCCATGCATCTCCTAGAGAAAGACTACGAGATTTTTGAAAAACAAAATTTTTGAGAAGTCAATCCTTAATCATCCATATGCATAAAGCAAGGATTGCTGATCACAGGCATATAATTGAAATTCATTATCAATCGTAATTTAATAGTATATAGAGCATCCTTTTAATGAAGAATTAAAGGATCCACGGCAAATGTAGAGCATATAGAAGTCAATTTTGTATCGCTAAATTACAGTTGATAATAAGTTTCAATAATATGGCTGTCACCAACGTCCTGTGCTTTATGGTAGCGTGTAGTTAATATTAGAATTTACATAAATTTTTTTTTACAAAATTTCTATGATCTTCCTTCGAAGTGTACAGAGTCCGGTGTAGAGAGAATTGTCTATCTAATTCTAGTCAAACCAAAGCCCTAATATCTATGAAATGCAAATTCTCATCAATGAAAGACACTAAAAAGTGTTCGATATCATTTTCCTTGAAGTTGTTTACGTGTCTGTTGATATTGTAAGCCTCATATTGCCTCGACAGTAAACTTTCTTTTTCCATATTTTTTTTTCGTTATTTTGTAGAATATCATAAGTTACATAACATGTCAAAAACTCGCTTTGCTGTCATTTAATTTCGAAAAATGATATTAAATATACTGTCAACAAACAGGTGTTACAGACTACTAAATCATGACCTTTTTCGTTCATTTTGACTTAGTAAATAAATGATTTACAATAGATTTAATAGCTCATTTTTTCCAGCTGTTGATAATCTGTCTTTTGATAAATTGCATGAAAAAACTCATTGACTTCTGAAAGTATAATACCGGCAGACATTTATGAGACGATTAATTACTATTTTATTGCTAGGACTTAGCTAATGTTGAAAAGTCAGATCACAGCTACTTTTGCTATAAAACATCGAAATGAGCTAAACTTTTTGTTTACAAGTTTTAAATGATGGCTTTTCGAATACATATAAAAGAACGATAATTTAACTTTTGACCAGTGATCCGATTCAATAGTCCTCTTACTGCTAGTCTCTTATATTGTTAAAGCACATTAAATCGTTTTTGTTTCATCCAATGATAAATACAGATTCGCTTGTTTTTGTTTTGGAACTCTCAAATAAAACATAGTTTCTCTAAAATCGTTATTAGTGCGTTCTGGTTACAATTATAGAAGTATGATGTGTGATTATTTCTCAAGCTCATAATCTAAAATACAAACGAAGCAGAATAATCAAATCGAATGTGGTATCAAAAGAATAATGCATATAGGAATGTACCTATTCCTCGATCACGATGTCAACGATGACATGTTTTGTTTAATAGGAATGTAGTTTCCTGTGAATTGTTTATATCAAACGTGATCAGTTGTTCTTGCTCTATCCAAAGCGGTAATCGAATTTCATGAAATAAAAAACAAATGCTTCAGCGTTTGTTGACAATTAGCTATTTTTAGTTTTTTTTCGAGCAATTCGTACTGTTGTTGGAGATCTGTGTTTTGTTTAAGATAAAATTTAAGATTAGATTCAAAAAAACGTTCAAAATTGATTATAATCTTCAGTTAGAAATTCAAAGAACTAATCTATTTCTGCTGATAAAAACGCATGTTCAATAATGAGAATTATCGAACTCTTAGCGATTCTTCATAATAAGTGTGATTAGTTTTAAACACTCTTTCTGAATCTATTCTTAGGTTTTTGTCTAATACGAAACACAGACCCTAAAACCTGTTGGTATAAATCGAAAAAAAACCCAAAAATTGGAAAGTTTTGACTGATTCGCAAAGCTCTCTTGTGTATCTCATGAAACTTGTCTATAGCTTTGGATACAGCATGAAAAAGTGGCCAACGCTAATATAAACAATCTGCAGGGAACTATGTCCTTAACAAAGAAAAATGTCATCTTCGATATCATGTTTTAGCATTCAGTCTATCTCTAGATTCATGTATTATTTAAAGGTCAAATGAATAATTTCATTTATTCTATTAATACTTCGGACGTGTTAGAACAGTGAACATAATCAAAGACTAGTCTAAGATAAACTCTGGTTCATTTTATAAATCATTAGTTCATTGTTAAATTTTGTATTTTTTCTAAGAACACTATATTTTATATGTATAAAAATAAAAACTAAAACTAACTTCAGGACAAAAGATTAAAACATGCTACATTGGTTAAATGATTTAATTGAACAATAATAAATTTGAAAACGTTTTGAATTTCTTACGAACATATTTAGATATAATTTTCTCAAGATCGAGTTGTGCACGGAACTTTCTAGTTTCTATTGTACAGTCGAATATTTCTCAGGAAAATAACAATTCAGTTGGTACATTATGAAGAAAAATATTCTCTATCAAATAAGACTATCCCGAAAATGATATGATTAGTGATGTTCAAGTTTGTACTCATGATCGGGACTCATTTTGATGGCAAAATTCATACTTGTTTCCACAGATTACAAAAAAACACATACAGGAGTCATCAGAGATTTACTTTCAACATGCAGATTTTCTCTTTGTCCACACCCTATTTGATTGTTCAACCGAATGCTCTAGGTTTGAATTATAAGAGTAGGTGGTTTTGGATCCGATTGAAACAAGAAAATCTTGATTTCGTATATATTTATCAAATTCTATGCACACAGACGTTTCTTAAACTATATAAAAAATCTTTGATCATGCAAGCACGGAAAAAAATCGACACCTAGGTTAATTGCTGGTATTCTGTTAGTATTGATAGTTTATTTTCTAAAATCGAACTCAATCAAATTCTATTTTGTATTGTAACATATCTTTTTTTGTTCTTTCCTTTTTCCAGACGAAATCGATGTAGCATTAAATCAAATATCCGATTTAAATACACGTCTTGTCGAAATGGATCGTCTTCGTAAACAACTCGAAGCCGAAAAATTATCATTAAATTCGACAATTGAAGAATATCGTGAACAATTACATATTGAAATAGCGAAATATAATGCATTAAATAGTCAAGTTGAAAAACTTCGTCTAGATTATGAAAAGAAAATCGCTGAAAAAGAAGCAGAACTTGATGTACTTCGGTAAGATAAAAGAAAACAAAACACAATAAATGTGTTTTTCCCAATTGAAAATAAATGTTTATTATAAAAATTAATCAAATATATATCAATATATTTAGTGTAAATCATCGAAGACAATTAGAACAAATGCAAACACAAATTGAAGAACTTGAATTACGTTATAAAACAGATATTGGTCGTCTTAAATCGAAATATCAAGCTGAAATCGATGAACTTCATCTTCGTTTTGATTCACTCAAGAAAGTTAAAGCTGAATTAGAAAATCATTTGAAGAAAATTCAAGCTGTTCTTAAAGAAGCACAAGATCGTCTTCTTGAAGAACAAACATTACATGAAGCAACACGTGATGCACTTAATGTAGCTGAAAAACGAAATGGTAAAAAATTTTTATTTGATTAAAGTTAAAATAAAAAAAAACTTTTGTTGATATTTTTTTCATTTAGCTATTCTTCGTGGTGAAATCGAAGAAATTCGTATATTATATGAACGTGTATGTTTAAATCGAATTATTTTCATATTTGAATTCAAATTTTGATTCTTGCTTTCTTTTTGTCTTGATAGAGTGACAAAGCTCGTAAAACAACTGAACTTGAATTACATGATTCCGAACAACGATTAATTGAAGCAACATCACTTGCTAATCGTGCTATTGCTGAACGAAAGAAATTTGAAGCAGATGCTATCCAACTTCACGGAGAAATTCTTGATATACGACAAGAACTTAAGATTGTTGATGAAAGAGTAAGTTAAAATTTCTTAAAATATTTACAGATTTTAGAAAACAAAATACATTATCTAAAGAGTAAAATACTTCTATTGATTTAACATATTTTTGTTGGGATATTTTACTCTTTTGAAATATCATTTATAAGACAACAGTTTAGAACCTGTAGAGAATGGATGGATAGGCTTTGAAAGAATGATAAAGAGCGATATAGAAGCATCCATTCTTTTGGATCTCATGCTGGCTAAAATAATAATGAGAATAGGGACTCTTCAATGGAAATACCATCCTTTTCTTCAGATCATCTTCAAAAATCAATTGTCGAATTTCTCACATATTAATAATGAATTCTTTATCGGTGTTTCCTGATAGGATTTCACCAGTTTTCAATGCAAAGTTTGCGTCAAATGAGCGAAACAACTGTTTGAACAAATGCGTTCAGATCAGAGAACATCTTCAACATTTCGGCATATCTGACCCAGAAATGATCTTATTAACTTCGTTTTCCTGGTAGAGTCTGTCGAGGCCAAATTTTTCGTATCCGAGACCAACCCGATGGATTGTATTCAATGACCGACTAAAACTTACTCAAGATTTAGTTTTCTTTTTTTGGGAAAAAAAGATATTTATTCTATGAATAATCCTACAAATCGTAGATTCAATTTCTTTTACTTTTCATTTCGACATCATATTTGATAATATGAGTTCTACCACAAATCTAATTACTAGAACTGTCTAAGAAAAACAAGGAACTAAATTATGTTAAATTTTCTTTTTGATAATATAAGAATATTCATTAAATCACTTTTTTTTAGGCACGAAAATTGGGTGCTGAATTAATCCATCGTGATGAAGAAATTCGTCATGAACGTGAAAAGACTGCTGAAGCTGAAGCATCAAAACGTGCATTAGATCAACAATTACGTGATTGTAGTGCTAAGATTGATGAAGCTGAAGCTTATGCACGAGCTGAAGGAAAACGTATTGCAGCTAAATATGAAGGACGAGTATGTTTTGAATTCATTTCTTTAATCAAAAGAAAACATAAATATATTTTTTTTTCGTTTTTCTTTTATTTCAATAGCTTGCACAACTTGAAACAGAAATTGAATTAGAACGTGCTCGTTATCAAGAACTTCTTAAAGATTTACGTCGTAATGAAAAACGTCTTAAGGACGTATTAACTCAGGTTGATGAAGAACAAACAAAAGTACTTTCACTTACGGACTCATTAAGTAAAGTTAATGATAAGATGCGTATCTATAAATCACAAATTGAAAGTGCTGAATCATCAGCTGCACAAGGTTATTTTTTTTGAAATTTCAATAAATTTTTTTGAAATAGTTTTTTTTTTTAAATTTTAGTATTAACGCGTGCTCGCCGTCTTGAACGAGAACTTGAAGATGCTGAAGAACGCGCTGAAATGGTTACAACAACATTGATTCGTTCACGATCTGTTCATCGTACTCTTGATCTTGATTAAAATGAAGCAATCGATCTTCTTTTTCTTTTTTTTTCTTTTCTTGTAGCCTATAACTATTATTCATATTTAGATAGGTTAGGATTCGCTTGTATTTTTTTGTTTCATTTTAATTATCTATTCACCTATACTTTAATCTCTTTTTTTTTATCCATTCCCTCATCACACTTATATATCTCTCATTGAACAAAATGCCAACACTAATTCATTCTTCTATTTGATTTTCAATTGTTGATCTATCAAAAAATAAAATCTTTTTTTTTTTCAAAAATCTTGAAAAAACAGCACTAAATATCATCTATTTTTATTTTGATGCTATGATTAACAGAACGGTATACTGGCATTGAATACGATTGTGTTGCTAGGGGAGGTTTTTATCGATCGAAAGACATCAAAAGAAAGGATATCTCCCTCTTTTTTTTCATTATTTCTGGTTCTCGAAGACAATACGACTGATTAGGGTGAAATTTTTACTACAGATAGAGCACCAAAAATATTCTTTGGGAAATCCTGGTTTTCCATAGGACCACATCGAACCTGCTTGTGACTACATTGTAACTTAGGTCGAATGAACTGAAATTTTTATCAATCATACTTGGAAATATTTCAAAGGGAAAACCAGCCGTTTTCCTTCTTGGCACCTAAATTTTGCATACGTCTCTCATAAAAAAAGAAATTGAGATTTTTTTGAAAAAGCTTAAAAATATTTCTGAGATATTGTCTCAGGCATTTCTCATTGATGAAGACCGCAATGTACCAGAATGCAACCCTATGAAAACTCGGATTTGTTTCCATGAGAAAACTGCGAAAATTCATTTTAAAATTTTTTCCACGAATTCTTCATTTTTCAGTGTTCTATATCTAGTTAAAATTTTAGTTAGATCAGTTGCACTGTTTTTGAGAACCAAAAACGGTCAAAAAAGAGGAAGCGTATCCTTAGTGGAGAATTTTAAAACTATGATATTTTTCCGTCAGTTCCTCTACAAATTTTGTTTGTTGAAGTATGTCAATTTGATATAGGAAAGTAATTTTTTTACTTTATGATCTTAGAAATAAGAGAATATAAACACAGAATTAGATTTACTCAAATAATTAAGTCAACTTTGATATACAGTGAACATGTCAAAACCTGAGGTAGAAACTTCCGAATATTTCCTTATCAAGAAAATTAAAGAATCAAGCAGCTGAATTCGAACAAAATGTTTATTATTGAAAAGGAATGAATGAAAGACAAACAAACATACTTTGAAATATTAATCGTGGAAGTCACATATATTTTCGAGGAAAATAACCAATGTAAGTTTCAAGTCGAAGTTCTATGACTTCCTCCGCCTCCATAACACTGCCATCATTTGGTCAACATAAAAATCGTGAATTGACCAAGTTATAACTTTAAAAAATAATTGCTATAAGTTTTTTATGAGTTGCTCAAGATATATAATAGTGCGAACAGAGCTGCTGGTTTAGATATAATGGATATTTAAAACAATATTACTTTCCATTTAATGCCATGCTTATAATGATAACAATTTGTTTAATTAACAAAAAAAAATACGAAAATGAAAAATAACGAGCAAATAGCCCTAATGCAAACAAAAATAAGGCATCCTTAAAAAGTAACGAAAAAAAAAATCTATGTTCGTAATGCAGAAATAAATAAGACAATCTTTACTTTGTTGATCGATTACCTTCGAAGAGAACTATAGTCTGTGAGGGATTTTACACTTCACGTATTTTGTATTAGTTTAATGAGGCTAAAGAATATATATATGTATGAATTCCACATCTCAGTCCCAAAACGCCTACGATAACAAGCTTTTTTGTTGCTACGATAGACGACAAACCACTGAGAAGATTAAATGCTGCAATGAGATAATTAAAGGAAGACCATTGAAGTATAATATTCTGTACACATTTTTTCTTCTGCTTTCATAAAATTGATCAAATCCCATATATTTTAATGATTTCGATAAATACGAAAATTTATTCTATTATGATAACACACGATTTTGGTGTGGGTGCAGATGTATCTTTTCTTCAGCCACATAACCTTATCTTATCAGTAGATATTGATCGTGCAATCATGACATCTTTATCCAACATCTGTCAAAACACTTTTTCTTTCACAATCCTACTTTCTATTTTTATGAGGTTTTTTTTCTACAGTTGATACTTTCGACCGAAGTTAAGTTTACTATTCAAATTGCTAATGTTTATCATATCAAAAATATTTTACTATTGGATTAGTATATGTTTCGAAAACAAGATTCTATATAGAATAGTTTTAAAAATTCTACCGAGAAAAAAAGTAGTTTTCATTGAAATTTAAACTTGATAAAACTCGTTAAAGTTCGAGAGTTTTGGTCTAAAATTTTTTTTTTTTGTAAAAGAGGAAGGATCTAGAGACTATCGAATAGTACTAGTACTGTCATATCCTTGAAGCGTCCTATTATTATTTCTATAGCAATACTCACAAACTGATCTGATAAGATTCTTCCAACTATTCAATGCATTGTATCATTCATAGATTTTCTCGAGCTATTAATATTTCATTACAAAAAGAATATTTTTTGGCATAAGTAAAAGTACGAATAATATTCTGACAAATTGATAGACCTAATCATACAGTTATCAAGACGATCAATTCTTACCTTGATATTTTACCTTGTCGAAACACAGCATGATTATCGATTAAAGGTCAATCGACATCATATGCTTTTCTAATAAAAGTAAAGGTCTTTACTTATTACTTCGCTAGTAATCATGACATTTATTAAACAAGATCTCAAATAAGTAATAAAAATAAATATCTGTTATGATGCTTTATTTCATGAAAGACCACAAAACATAAATGAATATTTTATCATAATCACGATATATATATATATATATATATATATATATTTTGAACCAATCTTATTTTTTGGATATAAAAGATATCGCATATATCCATCAAATTAGAAAGAAAAAGAAAACCTAACAAAATGAATACACAACAGAACAGAAGTGAAATAAAGAGAAGAAAAAAAAAACAAAACAAAACAACAAGTCAATAAAGTTTTGAAATAAATATTTCAAAACCAATAACTTTATTCAGCTTTTTCTGAACTTCTTTTGGCAGCTTTAGCTACTTTAGTTGTTTTTGATGTTGAAGCTAATACTAATCGTAATATGAGTAAAACTGCAAGAAATATTGCTCCACCAATATATTCCATACTATAATGTAATTTTTGAAATGCAATTATCATATTTGTTATTATCACAAGTAACACCATATTTCCCATTGATTGTGGAAAAGCTATACAAAAACAAACAAATAAATATCATCAATAAAATGTTCATTTTTTTTTCTTACAAACCTCCACCAAGTAGTAATAGAGTTCCTGAAGACATTTCAGCAACACCTACAGCTATACGATAATTTTTTGCATATGGACGCCAACCCGTTAAATGATAAAATGGAAATTCTTTATTTAATTTACCAAATTCATTTCGGGCTTGTGTATGATATTCAGGAAAAAATTGTGGAGTTAATTTAATATGACCCAAAAAAATAAATATCACACCAAGTACAACAGTTAATAAATGTAAACCAAGTGACGCCATATGTTTTTTTCTTTTCTACAAATAAAAAGTTATGTTTTCTTTCAAATATAATGTGACTGTTAAAAAGTCAGTTAACCGAAGAAAAAATTGAATATCTTGGTTATAGTTTGACAAGCTAAGGTAATTTTTGTTTTAACGATAATCAAAGTGTGTTCATATCCTTAATGAGGAATTCCTTTCCGGAGTTCCTGGAGAATGTCTCATAGGAAAATTATAAAATTTCCAGGGTAAATAGATCTGGATCAATAGAGCAAAAAAGTTGTTTTAGACTCGAAATTCTTAAAATCTTTCTTCTAGGAAATATTAAAGTTGCCAAGACTGAAAGTTATCCTCCTAATCGCTCTCTATTCTCAGCTGCAACACATTCCATACAGCTGAAACTCTTTTTTTTTTTTTCATAGACTAAACATTTTTTTGGAAATGTCTACCTTTGTCAAGTTTTTTGTCTTGTATTCGAATAGAACAATCAAAATACAGAGCTTATCACAAAAAACACGATTCTTTACTAGAAATTTTCTCATAAAATCTACTAAAAATCAATAGAGCTATATTTTTCAAAATAACAATTAACTGAAACCCCAAACAGTACCTAGTATCTATAAAAAAGCTTTAGCTCTATCAAATATAGTATGCCGAAGAAACAGGAGCGATTTTGTTTGTATTAGGACTTTTTTCTTCAACTAAATTGATCAAAAATTGGATACATGCAGTGGTGTTCGAGGATCGATGACTCATGCTCTTAGCACTCTTGGAATGAAAAAAAATAACCATTATTAGCAGAATTTTGTATGAAATAGAATAATCATAACGCGAGTTTTTCTACTAGGGATTTTGAAAATAAAATTTACTAAGCATACTAACTAACAACGAAGACTCTTCATTTATATGACACTAAACACAGGATATTTCGATTTTGGAAAGTATTGTTTTGATGTATTACTATCTATTTCGACATTGAAATACAGCCGTTCTCGATAACTTTTAACTGAAGATTTCTCCAATTGATGTGTAGCTTTTGAGTCTATACAGATTGATAATGACCGCCAAAGGATTCGTTTCGCTTATGGACTTCTGAGCAAGTAGTTGAGTCTTTTTCTCTTCTAGAACCTCAATTTTTTAATAAAATCTTAGCTTCGAATTTTTACTTGAAACCTTGCAAAATCAAAGTCTCGTACATCAAGTTGTAGAATTCTCACATGCAGTATTTCCAAGATCTTGATTGTGGCAAATTATCAGGTCAAATATTTATTAAAATTTTATTGAAAAGTTTGAGTTCTCAAGGAAAAAGTTCTATATCTCAATTGAAACTCTACAAAAGAGCGAATTCTTGATAAGTTATTATCAACAAATGGTTTGCTACTACTTAGCGACGTCTGGACTTCGAAGCTATACATCAACTCGAGAGATCCCCCATTGAAAATAACTATGAATGACTACATTTCTATGTCAAAGTCAATAATAATGTATAAAAATGTTTCTTTTCAATACTTTCCTTAAAGATATGACCCATGAACAATCCATTATTATTGATGAAAGGATCAGGCCATTTGGTCAAACGATGACAAAGATATTCAATGTTTTTATCCAATTAACTGATATTCGGGTCATTCTATTTTATTTTAAATATTTTTAACATGATGTGACACGAATGAATGAATACCAGATATATATAAATATAATCCAATCATATGAAGCCACAATACTTCATTTGACACATTGAGTTAGATATGCATTTTTGTTCTCTTGCATAGAGGAGGTACATGGTAAGCAATAGAAAGAAAATGAAACATTCGATGGTTGATTTATTTTGTACCAGCTGTTTTTTTTTAATAAATAATGTCGAGTAAAAAGGTATGAAATTTGAACTCTGTTTAATTTTGTAAGAAAACAAAAAGAAGAATTTTAGTTCATTTCACAGATTACGATCTTCAAAAAATATGAGATATATGTATAATCTTAAAAAAAAAATTAATTCTTTAGAAAGAGATTTTTTCCAAATATGAATCCTTAAAACAACAATTTTGAATATTAGATAAAGGATTGCACCAAACATTTTTTTTTTTGAAAAAAAAAATAATCCTTGATTAATTTTTATTTTAGAGTCGTGATTCAAGTAAAACCAAACATTCAAGCAAAGTAAATATTTATTTCACATCTTGCATTTTTATTTAATTTTTGTTGTTGTTTTTTTTTTAGAGTGATAGTCGAGAAGAAAAGCATGGACGAAGTTCAAAAGATTATCGATCAACAGTTGATGATCACGAAGGATCATCATCACGTCATCGAGATGTATTTTATTTTATAAAATAAATTTAATCAAATTCGTTGTTTTTTTCTTTTCTTTTAATAGAAATCCGAATCACATCGGCCAAAGTCTAAACATAGTAGTAAAACAAATAATCTTGATGATGATGCTATAGCATTAGCTGAAGAAGAAGAACGTCGACGACGTAAAAAACAAGAACGTAAACAACTTGAAGAAGAAGAAAGATTAAAACGTGAACAAGAAGAATATGAAGAAGAACGACGTCGACGAAAAGAAAAAGTAATTTTAATAATTAAAAATATTTTATTTTATTTTATTTTTTTCATTTTAAAAGAATCGAGATTTAGAAAATGGTGATAGTCGAAAACATAAAGTGAATATGTTTCTTTGTCATGATATTATCTTATTTTTAAATTTAGTCATCTCGAATTAAATCACCAACACTAGATTCACCACCACCACCACCTCCTACCAAACATGTTAGTGTGTATCCTTTTTAGAGAAATTCAATCATTATATTGGAATATTAATTTTTATTTAGAAAAGTAAACCTATCGAAAAAGATGATAATTATAGTGATGATTTCGAACAGGTTTGATTATAATGATTAATTTAGTTCTTAAAAATATTCTTTTATAGAATTATGATGATGATTTTGATGATGAATCTATTGCAGCACCGGTGAAGGTAATTATAAGTTTTCTATTTTTTTCTTGATTGATTTTGAAATTCTTTATATTTATTGAAAGAGAGAGAGAACATATATTAATAAGTTAAATATGTGTCATAGACTAATCAGAAATTGATCTGAAACATACGTCTAAAAAAATTAATCGCTATATTTTTATTATTTTTGATGGAATAGTCTTTGCAACTCTTAACTGTTTTTCTTCGTTCTATTTCATTTGAATGTTAAGGTCTTACCATAATATTTGATCAGGAGTATAAAAGTTCAAGGAATCGACCCATTCTAAGAAACTGTTTGATTCGAACAGCTCTATGCTATGAATTGATCCTTTTGAACAAACTGTTACATAAGCATTCAATAGTTTAAAAAATTCTCTAATAAGAAATAATCGACTCAAGGTTATCGAAAATTTATCTTGGTAATTTTTCAAAAGCTATCTATGAATACTACCTATCATTTTTTGAGTTTTACTTTAGGGTCACCGACTACAATGGATTGATGTTCATGGAAGCATCGACACACTCATACAGTATGGATGTGTCAAATAAATCAATGAACACTAATTCAGTGTGGTCAGTTTGAATTTTCTGTGAATAGTTCACTAAAACTATACATGCTTACTAACATGAAGTATCTCGAGCAAACATGAAACTAGAAGTTTTATGATTTTAGATTTTTCATGAAATTTTCTAATGTCTAAAAAATTCTCATGAAGCTTTGTAAAGTATTTCGGTGCTCTATGCATAGAGTTATTCATTTCTGTAACCTATACCTTACGCTACAGCTTTGTTCATATTTTTACCCTATCCTAAAAGCTTCACATCTTTACCTTACCATGAGATTTCTAGATTTTACCATATAGCAACATGAAGTTTTCTTCATTATGTTTCAGCATATTTCATTGATTTCCAACGATAATCAAATACAAAATTATCAAATATTTTAAAAGTTTCGTAAGAATAGAATTTCATTAACAATATCATCGCTCATATCTGTCTTCTCTCTTTTGAAACTCTGTCGCTTGTACTGAAAATATGTTCACTTGTAACTGAACTTGCCAAAATATTCAATAATCTTTTTCCGATACACACTAAATTGTGCGTAGTTCAACAAGCTCTTGTCCGACTAGTCTAATATTGACTCTTGTTTATCAAAACTTAATTTCGCTTTAAAATAACGGTTGATGTCTTCTAAACAAAAAAAAGAAGTCAGAATTGTCTTCGAAACTGCTTGCCAAAAAAGCTCTTAGCAATATAAACAACACTCTCAACATTGTTTGTGCCATACTTACCCTAACTCTGTAGGACTCTGCCTATGAAGTCTTTTGAGCACTTCCAAAGTCTTCACTGTTCCTCGTGATATTGAAGATTGTCAAAAAAGGATGAGGTAGCACATCTATATGACTCTAGAAAAGCTATGAATACCATCATAATATATTTCCTAAAAAAGTTATCAATATTAATCTGAGATAGATTTTGAAAAGCTATAGATAACTTGCTAACTTTGAGTCAATTTGTTTTTATTAGAGAATTGTTTTCAGTAGTTCATTTAATTTGAATTTATCAACTGAAGTTATTAAAAATCTATAATTGATCGTTCTTTTCGATTTTAATTTTTAAAGATATGCAAAATTTATGATTTTTTAATTATGATCGTAGGGAACTAGATTTTCTTTTGTCAAAATGTTCTACATATTATGAATTTGTTATGTTCTTTTTTTTTTTGTTAGTCTCTTAAGATTTATGAAACTGCCTTTTCACTGCTTTCCCAACATGTATCAGAGTAGAATAATAGATATATTGTATAAGTCTTCTCAAATTGTTGTTTACGAAACTAACATCAAATTTAGTAATAAACATGACAATACTTCTGTACAGTCAATAATAATATTATCAACAATTACCCTTGAAGCATCTATTAAAATTTAGTATTATGTAAACAAAAATCTTTCTTAGCGTTAGGCTATGAATTGTGTTTTATCTAATTTTTATTTAATCGATCTTTATTAACATGATTTTGTCAAAATAATGTCATTTTAGAAATCTTCTACATCATACAAAGAAGAAAAATTTCGTTCAACTTATAACGAAGTAAACATTTTATCTTCATTTATTTCAATGAAAAAAATTTGTTTTTTTTTATATCTAATTAGTCACCTGCAACAAAAAACTATCCTTCATCTAGTGCCAATGATAATACACAAGTTTATACAAGTTCACGTCGTTTTCATTCTCATGATCTATCTGATCGTATTCGACGTCGTTACAAAGATTTATCTCGTTTAATTGAACTTGATCGTCAATCATTTAATATTCTTGATATGGCACCAATGCCAGCTCATGCTGCTTATATACGTGATGTTGGTTTAAACAATAAAAATCAATTGTCAAATAATATCGATAGTGGTACTGGTTGGACATCAAATGTTAAAATTCAAACAAATGATGACGCTGAACATGTTCAATCACAAACAGATGAAATTGATATACGATCAATGTGGACACAACATCCTAGTGAAAGTGAACATACAGCATGTGGTAGTGGAAGTACAAATGATGAGAATCAATTTTCAGGTTAATTGAAAAGAAAATCTTTTTTTTTGAAAATAAAATAGTTTTTTAATCTAATTAATAGATATTAAGAAAACACGTGAAAATGAAGAATTATTACGTATGCTTCGATTAGAAACTGATCTTGGACGATATCAAACATTTGTTATTAATGCTGGAAAAGTAAATCAAACAAAATCGAAATTATTAAAGATTTCTATTTTTTTGTATTGCTTACTTTAGCTTATATTTGCATTACTTGATGAACAACAAACAAGTAATATTAAATCAAAATCAAAACGATCAAAAGATAATAATGAACAAGAGGGAATGCAACGTGAATCTGATCTAGATTTTTCATCTGGAGTTACTATTATTCCAGGTCTTTCATTTAAATCAGGTATAAAAGGAAGAAGAATTTTCATTGAAATTTATTTTATATTTATTATTATAGAAGTATCCGTTGTTGCTGTTTGCTTTTGCCATGACAAACCTGAACAAGTAGCTGTGTTTTATGAACCAGTTTGTTGAATTCTTTTTCTTATTGAAAATCATTATTTTATTTTTTTTCGTTCAATATTTAGATGTATACAACAAGTTATGGTGCAATTTATGATGTACGAGATCCTGAAAAACCATTGAGATTATTAAGTTGTGAAGCATCAATTCGATGTTGTTCTTCGTCTTTGGCTTATTTATTTGCTGGATGTGTAAATAAATTATTGTGCATTTATAAAAAAGAAGAACTATGAATATTGTTTGAACAATTTCTGATAGAAACTAGATCGAGAGCGGCGATTTTTACTATCACAATATGACGATCCCAACGCATAATTGTGTGCTAAAATTCGATAAGTCAGTAATCGCACAATTCGGTGAGTTATTGATGAAGATTTTCGAAAACGATATTCTGGATTTATTTTTCGACTGGTGTTGATTTTTGATATGTTTCATAGATACAAAAAATTGTTTTTCTTTTGATCTACGCAAGATTAACAATACTAACTTGTTCCGTTCAAGAGTTAAGAGAACTTTCTTGAGACTCTCGATTTCAGCGAATTGATCTTGGATCATCCGGAAAAGTATCTAGGCAAGAACAATGCAACACATCTAGTTGCATGACGATATTTGTTGTTGGGTTCGAAATGATCTAACAATCTTACCTCAATATTTGTAACATGTAGACTTACTCTGCTGTAAAGTGGTACATTGTGAGACTTTGAAAATACGGAAATACAAATGTTAAATCATTTCGAATTCAATAGCAAATACTGCGATTCGTCTCAGCAAGGTGAATTAACTCTGTCTAGATACTTTTTCGAGTGATACGCAATCCGTTGACAGAAATTGAGGATCTGAAGAAAGCCCTCTTAACTCTTGAAGAGAACAACCTAGCAATATCGGCCTTGGATAGATCAAAAGAGAACGATTTTTCATATCTACATATCTTATTAACCACCGACGTCAGCTGAAAAGTGCTTTCAGAATATCGTTTTCGAAAATCTTCACGAACAACAAATCGAATTGGTCAACGTTGACCAGCCTTATTTCAGCATGCATTTATGTTCCTGGACATTCTCTTTGTAATGGTGACAACTGCAGCTCTCTATCTTGTTCTTATCAAAGGCTATTCAAAAAATACACATAGCTCTTCTTGCTGGAAATGGATAGTTTTTTTTAGTTTCCTTAAAATATGAATTCTTTTGAATAGCATGATGGATCAGTAGTTTTATTTGATACAAGTGAACCAAATAAATATAAACCTGATTCACAAAAACCAATACCAAGTAGTCCAACATTTTCTACAGGTAAAAAATTGAAAAAACAACAATAAAAATTAAGAAAATTTTCTTTAGCAAATATACAATTTAATGATCGTCATTATAATGAAGTTATTCGAGTATTACCATTGCGAACAACAAAGTAAATGAGTTATATATTGTCTTTCATACTTTGTTTTTATCTTTGATTGAATATTTATATAAAAAAAGTATGACGAATAAAGTTGATCGATCAACGAATTCATTTTCTTTGGCTTCACTCGATCGAGATGGTCTTATTATTATTTGGGTAAGAATAAGAATTATATTTTTGGTAATCTTATATATAAAAAAAGCTTTATTTGAAATAGTCGGTTGTGGAATTAACGCAATCAGATGAAGCTGGATCCATTGCTGACTTAGGTCTTAAACCAGGTGGAAGAGTTCGTATGACACAAACTTCATCAATTCAAATTAAACAATCGATACATATGGCTAGGTTAGAATAAGAATGTCATTTTTTTAAATATTCTAATGAATCTTTTTATTTAGAGATTCCATTCAAGCCTATGATCTATCATGTCCTACAAGTGATGTTGACAATCTTTATGTAGCTAGCAATGCTGTATGTCTATTTATTTTGTTTGGAAATATTAATTTTCATTATTTGTAGAATGCTGTTTATCATATGACACGATACGGAGAAATGGGTTCACCATCAAAACTTCGAATATCGTCTGATATAGGTCATTATATATAACCTAATTATTAATTAGAACTAAGTGTGTTTTGCTTTATTTTTTTAGAATCACAGATCGAAGTTACTTGTTTATCGTTTAATCCTATTATAAACAAACTACTCCTTATTGGGACTGGTCATGGTCAATTAAATTTATATACGACGGGACGAGGTAACAAAACAAAAAATTAATATTTTCTTTGTGAATCCTTTATCCTGATAGCCGTTTTATAAGAGTGACTGATAAAATAGTCTTAAGAATATCAACCTTTCTTATATGCCAATCGTGTATGGTAAGATCCATCAAGTGCTCTGCTCTTGGCGCAAGATGGTTTTGGTTACTCTAATTACTATACAATAAAATAGGGAAACTGAATAACATGATAAGTCCTGATTTTTTTCCTTTCACGGCAATACTGATAGGGTAATAAAGCCTGTGGGGTTGGTTCTGGAACGGACAAATCCAGATTGGGTTCAGATCCGAAAGTTTTGAATTATATAAGTTCTAGCCGTCAAAAACAGCTTATATCCTTTGGTATTAGAGTAATTGCATAAAAACAAAATGTGAAAGAACATACTCACTATTGATACATATTATGAAATAATCATCTATTTTTCTTTGAAACATGGTATAATCACTGAAGATTATTTTATCCTTATAAAATACTATTGCAATTTCTTATGTGATAAAGTTTACAGTGTACATATTAACTTTGTATTTTGATTGCTTTCTGTCTGACTAATAGTGATAGTAGGGTCCATTTTGCATTCTATTATCCGTAATTCTCAATGGTATCATGATATTTTTGAAAGTTACATTAGTTCCTAATAGGCTTCTTCATTAGTTTATATTACACTAGAAACCTCAAAGATTTCTAATTCCTCAAAATAGTGAACTTTCTGTTAAAGTTTTTTTTTAAATAAATTATTGATTTTGTAAGAGTGAGATTTTTGAGACGAAACGATGGAACTCAATATTCTTCCAGTGATCACTAGGAGAAGGCGTAAAGGATTAAAAACACTATTGATCTAATTATTGTTAGATGAACCAATTTTAACTTGGCCACAAGCATTTCGTTCCTCATCGATTGTTCTTAGTTGTAATTGGTCAGCAGGTCGAGCAAGTGTATTTTTTGCACATGACTCTCAAGGTTATATTAAATATTGGGATTTAACTAAAGATCAATATCAACCATTGGGACATGTCAAAATTGAAAAGTAAAAATTAATTTTTTATAACTTTTCTTTGTTTTTTTTTTAACTTATTTATTTTTAATTTTATAAAGTCTTAGCCATTTTGTTCTATCAACAAGCAATCAATACGAAACAGCCTTTGCACTTGTTATCAAACAACAATCATCACAAATTGAAGTTCATCAATTGAAACGAACATTTGCAACACATTCAGACACATTTATAGACAATTTTAAAAGTATTCTTAAAGAGATTATGGCAAATGCATAATCAATTGTCTTTGTTTTTTCTTGGTTATTTTATTTATGTACAAATAAAGGGAAAGAAAATGGGCGGTTTATACTACATATTTGATAATTGATCGTACTACAAAAAAGAAAAAAACATCAGTTTTGATAATGAAATACAAAAGAAAAAAATCTAACCTCCATTTGTGCACGCTCAATTTCTGATTGAATTGAATTAATTCTTGTTAATAAAAGATTCTAAAAGAAAATATTGTTTTCTTTTCAAATATGTAAAAGTATTTAAATGAATATTTACTCGAAGTACAGGATTATTCATTTCAGCTAATTGAGCATCAAGATTAGATTTTTCATTATTTAAACGATCTAATTCATTTTGACATTCATCTAGTTTTGTTCGTGTTTCTTCTGATAAACCACCAGTAGTAGTATTGTCATCAAGATTTAAATCATCTTGTTGTTGCCATTGAGATTGATTAGTATTATCTTCTTCGATTGGATTTACGTGTGAGGCTGTATCCATATTACTCAATTCACCCATATCACCACTAAATAAACCTTCAAAATCCATTCGTTGATCAATAGAATTTGGAGCTTGATGATGTTCGACAATATCTAAATAATAAAATAAAATTCTTATTATTAAAACTTACGAGAAAACTTATTTAGATGATAAAACATTTTCTGGATCCGAAAATTGTTTATGACATTTCTTCGGATCTAAACCCAAATCATACTTTGAATATTTACAAGAATTTTTTTCAATTTTAAATCTGATTGTCACTTTGAACATATGACATCCTTTGTTTTTGACAAGTAGCACAGTCTAGCATTTGTCAAGCTCTCTTGACGATGGTCTTCTATGATAATCAAGCTACAAATGGCTGTTAGTTTTGGAGTAAGATTGATTGAGTTGGTGTCGAATTCAATTCATAGAAAATGTCTAGATCCGAATCCGATGCACTCTACTACTGAGAATAGACACAATTTATAATGGTTCATTCTCTTGTTGCTTTTTTTCTCGAATTATGATCTTATGACTGCATTTTCGGCTTGGTATAGGATATGTCATAGAAAAGCCAAAAGCATAATTTAGATCTGGAATTTCACTCATACAAGTTTCTTATGGCTTCTGGTATACGTTTAAAGTTTACTCTATAATGAATACATTTTCCCTAAAATAACAGGTTCTTAAGTAACGTGCTCATTTAAAAAAAATCAGAGAAATGTCGTTTGTTGTAAATCTGTTTTTCCAGGCAGAAAACATGCATTCAAAAACAAACCTTAAGGGTATGATAGGGGTCATAAGACCACGTTGCCAGTAAAATTTCTGATCACAATTTTGACATCAGATTTTCTATGACATGTTTTGCACCCGACTAGAAACTCACTTTAATATTCATAACTCGATAAATAATATAATAGCCCATCTGATTCAAACTCTTCGAAAATCGATCTCCGAAATACATTAGATTTCAGTGGAAATAGTATCCACTTTTTTGTCGTGACCACACTTAAGTTATCTGTACTAGTCACATCGACTGTTGTAGCTTAGTTTTCGAGTTTGACTAATTATTAAAGATGACGCAACAAAGATCAGTATTAGCTAGAAGATTTAATCAATATGAAAGACTGTGATACCATCTAGCACAATACACTGTAACATATTAACATTGACTTTTTTTGAGTTGAAATTGATCTTTTCGATACTGAAAATATTAATTTAATAGAGAAATTATAACAAAACTTGATAAAACAAGACTAAAGCGTTTAAACCGTCAGTTTTCATGAAAAAGTTGATAACAGGAGAATAGGAATGAATTACGATAAGTCATGTCTACTATCAGTGGACTCTGCTCGCATATCTGTGTTAGAAGCTGTTTACCACCGATAATAATTTTTCCATTACTTAGTCTAAAATAATGCTCTTAGCATGCATACGAAAAAACTGAATAAATGAGCGAAAGGAGTTAACACCTGTCAGCATGTCTCATGTCAATAAATAACTACTGTATATTGAATTTTAGTTTATTTGAAAAAATTTTATCATCTGTGTCTGAAATCATATTGAAAAGATAAAAACCACATTGACAAGAGTAAATCAGGTGTAATTGTCCTTTTTTAACGAGCAAGAATTCCAAGCAAGAATTTGCTTTAGTTCGCAACATCTTTAAAAGTATCTTTTTAGCATTTGTTTAATGAGTTATTTTAAAAATCAGTATGAAAAATATTTATTTAGATCTTTTGTTATTGTTTCGATAATTCTACTGCATTACTGTGATAAGTGTATAATAAATAATGAACACTTGTAAAGGATAAAGAACGAAAGAAAATCAGTCATCCCTTAGTTTCTCCAACCAGGAATCTAACAAACATCTCTACGATGAGCCATATTAGTGGTATTACCCAAAATATTTACATTAAAAATTTTTAATCTAATTTTCAAAATAGTTCATTAGATAAATGTTAAAATAAATTTTTTACAGTCGTTATAAACACAATCAAGTTCGTACTGAAATTATCACTTATGAAAAACGAAAACTATCTTCAAATTATCTGGGAGCAATACGGGCCATATATATATTGAATAATGTGTTGTCTCATGGAAAGCATCAATTTAAGATACCCAACATGAAATTGCACTTCAAGTTAACAAAAGGTCGCTTAAATGAAACCTGACACCATAATTTACACAATTCACGTTTCTATCGATTTATCCACGTTATCGGCGAGCCATTACAAATTACTACAAAAACATTCTTGTAAAAGAAATGAAGTCGAATAGTCGTGAGTCATTTCGTTTGTACCGACAGAACAGAAACTTAAAGTCACTGATTGATCTTGATATCAATCATATTTTTCTATGTATAGATGAAAAAATTATAAATCAGCTAGTGGCACACAAAACATTCCAGTAGGGTAATAGTAATTGAAAGAACAGAATAATTTAGATACATTGTTAAAACTTTCCAAATGTATTAGATACAGGTTAAATATCTTTATTTATCGATAATTTTCCCCAACGAATATAAATAGAAAAAGAATCGAAAGCTCTTGTATTTATCAGTAACACAGATATTTGTTTTGTCAATCTACTAGGACATTGCACCGATAGAAAAATGATGAATACAAAGATACCGAAGTACAGACAGTGTATAATATGATACCTTTCAACTATTACATGCCAATCATTTTTCATTGATTTGAGATAGGTATCACAAAAAACATAAAAAGTGGCTAACTGCTCGATTTTTACTGAAATAAAGAGCTTTGTATAGTAAAAGCAATATAGCAACACATATTGGTAGACCTATTGAGAAAAGAAAAATTTCATTATTGAAAAGGAATATTAATTTTTCATTCGACAGGATCACAACCGGGCAGAATGTATGGACTATCCTCAAATCCATAAACTAAATATACAGCTAAGACAAACAGTTTCAGCTTTAGGAACATTTAACTACAATCTAGCAACATGATCAGCAAAGAACTTAGAACAACTACGCCAAAGTTATTTTATCATTAAAAGACATAATTCGCTATTAACGAGCTTCACTCTTTAAGAATGGATACCTCCGAAATGAAATTAATTTCTTTTGACATTACTAGTCTATTTACAAAGGTTCCTTCACAACAAACAACAGTGTTGATTTTTAAACAGTTTTAGGAACTAGATTTGGCTTCCACTTTCAGTTGAGAAACAAGAGAATACTGGTGTAAAATTTGTAAACACTGGTGTTAAATCTGATGACTTTTAGAAGTAGTAAATAAGGGACTACACTTTATTTTCAATGAAAAAACCGTATACTTAAGAGAGACAGCATTATCTATGAGCATTCCACACGTTCAATTGTTTGGGAAGACATAAATGAACACTCTAGAAGTTAAATGAAGCTTAGATTAAAAGTTAATAGTCTTTGATTGTGGAAACGATTTGCAGATGGCACATTTATTATTCTATAGAAAGAGATAAAGAACAACAAGCTAACTAAAATTCTCAACAGTTTTGATACAGATATAGTAATAACTGACAGAGACGAATCAAATAGTTCTATTAAGTTCTTAAATATTTCAATTATTCATACACCATCTAACTTATTGACAAAACCATTTTCCATCACTGTTTACAGAAAAGTAACGTATACTGGTCTACTAACAAAATAGAAATCCGGTGTTCCTTATTCTGATTAATCAATATTACAAGTTATGGTTTATTTGAGTATTAAGATTTGTTCTTTTTTCAAACTAATAAACGATGAATTTTTATGTATTAAGCTAGCTTCTATCAAAAATGTACATCTGAAAGAATTTATAGAAGCTCAAGTAACACTTTAGGTATATATTAAGACAAAAGTGGTGTCTGAAGTGTTTATTGAGAGTCCATGGGAAGGAAAAGCCAACTAAAATTCAGCAGAAAAGGATTACTAACATTGACAAATCAATAAATCTCTCAGGTACAACTCTTGCCTATAAAACGACCACCGCGGTCTACATCAACATTAGTTCACATGAGGTGCCGAATACCTAGAGAACTTCAATTTAGCGTTGTATATTTAGTTAATTGTTCAAACCTTGATTGCATCGTGTGTAGAGAAAGCTATTGGGCAAGAACAAGTAGAAGGTATCGTGAACACTGCTGCTTTGAACAAGAAGATATTATCAAGGTCTGTATTAATATTTCAATCAGCAAATCCCATTATCTCACGTTAGTCAGAGGAAAATGAAGGAAAAGTATAAAACATTTTTTTAATAAAAACGACAATATTCAAAAATAACATAGTTACAAAAAACGGAGACGAAATCATCTCTAAAAAAATCACGAAATAGATACCAGACATAAAATGAACTGAATAAATTGGAAAGTTTTATCTAAAGATGCAGAACATTATCGGTTATAGGCAGGCCCCGCGCGAGGGACCCAAGATTGGGGGGGTGTGACGAGATTTCAAGGCAGTGAAGACTAAGGGAAGCAAAATTTTTTTCGCATCAGATCTGATGTTAATCTTTTTTTGCGGGCCTAAAATGTAATCATTTTTCGCGAAGCGACAACTTTTTGCAACCTCCTTAAAAAATTTGATTTTTTTCTGGCAAATTTTCAAGAAGAGAACTCGAGTCCAATATGAGAAAATTTCTCGATACTGCCGTTATCGAAAGCGACCACTTTGGTGAAAATTGCTCTATATCAAGCTGTTTCAAAGGAAAAGTTGACTAAAGGATTATCCGATCCAAAATGAAAGGCAGGTTACCATTTTTCGCATAACTATTGATACGAACGAGATAGACAGCTGCGGTTTTCACCATTCGAAAGAGCGATGTCCGAGCCATTGTTCGGTATAGAACTGATTAAGACGAAAGATATTTTTTTTTATGTGTGCCTTTGAATCAACACTTTTCCATTGAGTATTTTCATCAATTTTTAGAATAATCTCAACTCAAATTATGTCAAAATGTAGCTCAAATCATCCTCTTTTCGCTATAAAAGTAACATTTGTTTTTTTTTAAACCAGCTTAGAATAAGCGATTGAGAGATAATAAAATATGTGATAATTTTATAGCGAAAAGAGGGTGATTTGAGCTACATTTTGACATAATTTGAGCTGAGATTATCTTGAAAATTGATGAAAATACTCAAAAGAAAAGTGTTGATCCAAAGGTACCTATAAAAAAAAGCATCTTCCGTCTTAATGAGTTCTATACCGATCAATGGCTCAGACATCCCTCTTTCGAATTGTGAAAACCGCACCTCTCTATCTCGTTCCTATCAAAAGTTATTCGAAAAATGGTAACCTGCCTTTTATTTTGAATCGGACAATAGGAAGTTTGTCTAAGTTAACTGCGGTTACACAATTGTTATTTTTCGCGAAGCGAAAACATTTTTCAGACTCACGAAAAACTCTTTTTCCCTTATGTTGCTCGAAAGCAAAAAGTGTTGCGATAACTCTTAGAGATTTCGCCGCCGAAGGCGGCCACGCTAGTGACGACTGTTGGAAAATAAAGCTCTTCAAAAAAAAGACAGAAGTAAAATTGCGTTAAAAACAGAAAAATCACACATATTTCTAGGTCGAATACGCTCCCGTGGTCATGTTTTCGCGAAACGAAAAATTTAAACATCCCTTCAGAATTTTCTAGCAAAAACTTTCAAAAAGATTTATGAATTTTGTTGGCTACGAATGAGTAATTATTAATTATTGGGGGGGTGTACACCCCCCTACACCCCCCCACTTTCGCGGGGCCTGGTTATAGGTACGAGAGTCATCATTGACCTTGAATAAAACCCAAATTAAAACAAATAAGTCTATTTAGTGCCACCAGTTGTTTATTCGCAAGGGTAACAATAGTCGGATACACCAAAAGTAAAAATCAAACAGTGACTAATACAGGCTATGGGAATGTAATGGTTAGTGTTATGAGCGCCCATAACATTAACTCGGTCCATGATAAAGATATAAGTTTCTGGTTCGAAAAAACTAACGATTGACTTATTTCTTTTCGTTCTTTGGTTCTTACATGTTTGTTACTCATCATACATTAGTGTTGATAATTGCAGTAGAAACGTTGATACGTCACAATAAGTCAGTAAATTAATGTTAAAAAATATTTTTAAAGTTGTTGTCGACTCAATCACATTCTTATCTGAAATTAGTTTTTTTTTTATTAAAACAACAAATGAAAATCTACTAATTTTCCAAATCATTTAGAATAAAATATCATTGTCAGAAAAATAGTAAAATAAATCAAGATATTTTATAGATGACGTATCAATTAATGAAATTTTCAAATAATAAATCATCAATAATTATCGATTTTATTTATTACAATTAAATATGAGCAAAATTAATTATGTTTAGAATCAGTATGAGAGAATGGCACAAGGCGCATACCATGCAGGTCTTACAGATAACCTATTTTGTCCTACACTAGTCCTGCACAAGCAAGAATCGGACAATCTCTTTTTTGGGTTCAGGATCTAAAAGATAATCCGTGAGTCTTGCAAGACACATAAGTCAATTAATTGATCGTGATCCAATCAAGTTTTGGTCTAATAGTGAAATTCGTCATGATTCTACATTATTGAGAATTGTAATCAGATCAGTAAATACCACACTAGTGACTAATGTTTCAGGGAAAAGATGATTAAGCTCAGCTGAGTTGGCATTTACTTCAAGACAAGCATATTTATTATCATATCAAATTGACAACATTATTTGTTCGTTCTTATGAGAAATTCAAGAAAAAGGAATCAAAAAAGACTTATCCTTTCTCGTTATCTCTCTACTTATGTTAATTACATTTTGAATCGTGTATTTTTATGTTTGTTTTCTTATTATTTTATTCATCTTATAGATGCCGAGTGTCTTTTTTATTGTTCATTTCATTTCTGGTGGAAAACATGTAATAAGGTTTATTAACATGATTATTATAAATAATTTTGCTATCAATAGAGAGTCTAGGATACTTAATATCGTGCCTTATATGCAGGCAAAATTGATGTCCTTGTTAAAAAAAAAGCAATAAAAAAAGCATTCTGTAAACAGGAGGTAGAAAAGTTCTTTGTCTTGTGAAACAGGATGAGGGAGTGAGAATTTGTCGTGCATTATGCTGTGCAGGATGAAGAAAACCATCCTAAGATGGCATTCTTTGATTGGTATTTCGATCAATAGATCTATTACGAACCTTTCTGTGATGTTTCTTCTTCATCTGATTCACTAACAGCACCACCGAATAGATCAGTATGTTCTAAAAAATAAACATGAATACTGCAACAAAAAACCAACAAATAATATTTCTTAATTGCTTCGTACCAAGTGGATCTTTATCTGTTGGTTTATTAACTTCTATTTCTTGATCATCATCAATTATTTCCCATTTAACATCAATTGCTTCATTATCAGCTCTTGAAAAATCATACAATTATTTATTTCTTAAAATAAAAACAAAAACCAATTTTCTTACCGAAATAAACGTCGTACTTCTTGTTCCATTTCATCTCGATCTTGAGTTTTTTGCCGAGCTACTTTACGAAAACGACGCTTTCGTACATTTTTTAATGGTGGTGTTACTAAAATTATTAAATAAATAAATAAATAGAAAAAAAAACAATTCGACTAATTGAAATAAAACTATACATCCATGTGGCCATTGAAATTTTTTTTCTTTATCTTTTTCTTTCTTTTTTTTCTCATTTCCACCATCGGAGAGTGTTGTTGCATTTGTATTTGATCGTTTTATTGTTTCATCATCATCGTCATCATCATCACTCGAGCTAAGATCGCCCGGTAATCGACAAACAAGAATCTAAAATTTCATATTAATTCTAAAGTAAATCAAAATCTTTGTTTACCTGAGCAATATCAGCTATTTTATATAAAGTTTTTCGATCAAATGTTTTATATGTTTCTGTGATACATGGTAAATCATAGAGGGCAGCTTTAAAAACAGTGTCATCAAATTTAACACGACCACGTCTTCGTTCAGGATTTAAATCAATAAAAAGACGTTCACGAATTTTTTCATCACCAGAATCAATTAACTCACGTAAACGTGTTGCATATTCACCCTGGAAAAAATATAAGCACATTAGAAAAAAAATTGATTATGTAAAAAAAGACAATTACTGGTGGCATTCGAAGAATAAATTGTTGTTCAAGTTCAAACTGTTCTTCATTTTTCTCCTTTTTTGTCGTTATTGTTGTTGATGACGTAGGTGTCGTAGACATCTGAAAAAATTTACAGTTTATTACTCTTTTTTTCTATTTTTATAAAGACTAGATTTATTGATAAGACAAGAAAAGGAAAAGAGATTATTTATGTCGTCGTTTAGCTCTCATTACACTGGTAAAAGCGCCTTTTCTTGAACGTAATGTAAATGTAATACATTGATCATCAAGACAATGCATTAATTCTTTAGATGCTATTTTAAGATTAAGATCTGTTTTTATTTGTTTATGAAATTCTTCGAAATCGATTGGTTCATAACAAAGTATACGACCATGTAATGTTGGATTTGATTCAATATAATTACGAACGATTTCTTTTAATGGAATTGTAGGAGTTTGAAGTTTCGGTTTTTTTATAACTTTTTTTGTTGATAATGTATCGGAATCAGAAGTTAATATTGGTGTTGATGGTTTCTTTTTTTGTTTCAGTTTTTTAGTTTCATTTGATTGAGAACAATTTTCGTTCACTGGTTCTAAAATAAAACAATATAATAGGGTTTTCATTTTACATTGCATAAAATCATATAATATAGTATACTTAGATATAGCAATCAGTTTAGATATTCTATATCCTATTAGAAGTGATAGTATATTAGAGATAAGTCAATAAGAGATTGTATTTAAAACTATAGGATAAATCTCAGCAATTGTTTCAACATCAAAAATAATGAAACAAAGTTTTGGGTTTTTTGCTTACGTTCGTTATGATAAAGACAATCAATTTAGATGATAGTAGTCTTCTTGGATTGAAATCATAATAAATTATTGTTTATGATAAATTTCATATTTCTCGAATCAAGAAGAGAACATTCATGAAGGATATGCAATCAAATATTCATTTGTTGAACTCTTCATCCTCTTATCGTAGATTTGTCCGACGTCGACTCTCACCTAATCTGATCGTGTAGTGTAAAACATTTCTTTTGATAAAGAGATTAGTTGTCGGAATATTGTGATAAATGAATCGTCAGACTATTTTCGATCATTTTCGACTAGATTCTAGTATCGACCTCTTTGTGATAAATATATTTCATATAAAAAAGCAAAGCATACATTTTACGATTCCTAGACTTCATGCATTGATTAATGTGACACTATAGAATACCTATATGAAATACCTTTTTTTAAGCAAACGTTCAAACGTTCATAAACGTTTGAATCTCTCCTTCTCTTCTCAAACCTATTTGAATTTATGTGACCCTTCCCGTTTCGATTTTTTTATGTTCTTTATAGATGGCCCGGAATAAGTGGAGTCAAATAGTCTTGAGGAATAAAAGTTAACTAGTAGCTGCTGAAAAATAATGTCGTTTAAAAATACGAAAGAATAGATATTGTATTCCAGTTCATAGAATACAAAAGATAAAAGAAAAAGCAATCTATCATAATCTGATAGGCGAAGGATATGATATAATGAGCGATCGAAAAGAATTGGAAAAAATTTTCGTGCATTTTTTAGCCTTTTTTTTAAAGAAATCTGCAGAATTTTGAAAAAATTAAGGCTATCATTAGGAGTTTGTGTTCTTTTCAAATATGTGTTCAACATTTTTGTAAAACTTCTAGTAGCTTATGAACAAAAATTATTTCGAATACAGCGAATGTTTTGGTGTGGAATACCATGTCAATTTCGATAATCTTCTCGACTTCTAAAGAAAACAAACTTGTAAAGTGAACTCGAATATTTCTGACTGAGTTTTCTGAAATTTTGGATTCTTATATCATTTTGTAGAGAATCAATTTCACCTTTAATTCTATCCAAAAATAACCGAAAATATAACGCATGCAGTAAATGACACTGTAGCAGACAGAAACGTCGATTTTCTCCATCCAAAGTTAATTTTCATGTTTCAAAGAAGTCAACTCATAACTTCAAAATCCTACAAAGATTTTGAACCCATATTTCGAAAGAAAACTAAGTTCTGATTATAACCCAATCTGTAGACTGCTTAAAAAGCTAAAAAATGAATGAATATTTTTTCAAATTACTATACGATTACCCATAATCATCTTGGTACATGAAACTATTTATATATTAATTAAAAATTTACAAAAATAAATTACTTTGTGAATCACTGAGATGACCATCATTTGAAGGACAAGTAGGTGAAGTAATAATCATTGATGATGAACTAGAGGATGTTATTGACGACGAAAGATCATAAACTGTAAGTTCAAGAAAACGACCTTCATGATCTGTATCATCCTCATCTGATTGACTAACATTTTTATTTTCCACTATTGTTATTGGAGTTGTTTTCTTTACTGAAGGTGGTGGTGGTGGTGGTGATGGATGTTGTTCAGCTTCGTCGGAAGAACTCATTTGATGAATAGCTTTTCGTTGTTTTGGTTTTTTGACATCAGAAATAATAGCTGGTGTTGGTGGCGTATGAGATAAATCTTTTTTATTGGAATTAGACTTTGGAAGATCAATTTCATTCGTATCAAATTCATAATCAGTATCAGTTTCATATTGATGAGTAAAATTATAAATTTCATCAAGAATTTTAATTAATCGTCCTTTAGCTTGTGTTGTTGATAGACCATAACGCATAGCATGGGTTTTTAATTGTTCAATATCCATTGCTTTATAATCTGGTTTCGGTGAGAATGGTGATGGTGCTCGATATTCAGACATGGGTTTCTTTTTCTTCTTTCGTTTTGTTGGTGATTTTTTTCTTTTGCAATCATTGGTTTGATTAGTGATTGATAATGTTGATGAAAAAGTTAAAATATCAAGAATATTATTTTCAGTTGTTGTAGAAGTTTGTTTATTTGGAGATAAAATCATTTCTCGTGGTGGAGAAGGAGGTACATCAATATCAGGTATGGAATAAAGTTTTGAACGCTCTGCATCATTTAATCCATTATCAAGTTGTGGCCATTCATTCCAATAATTATCAACTTTAAAATATCAAATTTACTATGTTTTCTGTGAAATAAAAAATAAAATTATAAATTACTTAGTTCATTATCAATCGGTTTTGTAGTTGTTTCTTCATCTGAACTATCATCTAATATTATAATTGATTGTTGTTTGATGGACTTTGTATCTTTACAATTATTTTCTTTTTCATTACTATTATTCAAATCATTTGTTGTTTCGAGTGGTGGTGGTGTATAAGTTTCTGTTCGATCATTATCGTCATCATCATTATCTTGATTAACATCTATCATGATCATCTTCAACAAAAAAACAGAAACCTATTCAATCTTATGTTTATTTAATTCTTCTTTTAAATTATCGAAATTTCTCTTTTGTTTTTCTTTGAAAAAAGTACAAAAAAAAAGATTATCACTGGATGAAATCATATCGTTAGTTCATCATCATTATCATCAAGTATTCGAGCTAATTGTGTCATCGGGACCTAAAAAAATGATGTATAATAAAAAAACATTATATCATTGCTAAGGTGCAAGCAATACAAAATTCGAGTGGACTATTTTCCTCACTCATTTATACATAGTTGAATACAGCTTGGTGAGACAGTCATGAATATACAACTTTCATTTTGATTCGATCACTATGAGACTGAAGAGACCCGTACAAAAGTTGAATGATTGAAAACCTATATAGTATTAGTAATTATGAAACCGTTTTTTATTACAGGAACTATCAAATTTCGATTACGTAATTTTTTCGAACGTTATGAAAAAAAAAATTATTCTGATTCAGCATGATAAACTGAGTAGAATAGTGTTATTTCATTAGATTTAGAGTTAAGAAGCATAAGAAAAGTCCCATCCAATATAAATAGCTCTAACATGCTTCATAGCATGTATATGTGAGTATTTTTTTAAATGTAAACCTATCTAGTTGTTTATAACGAGATGTAGAAGCAAGTATCTCATTTTATTAGAATTCTCGGGTCATGAGTTACAAAAGTGCCTGCTTAGTTTTTTAAGCTTTTGATTTTTGAATTTTTTCTCATTTGATGAGAACATTAGAATTAGACATGTTTTAGTAAAAGTTGTGTTCAATGAAAGAAACATCCGTAGTATCCTAAGTCGATTTTTCGCAGAAGAAAATATTCTTGAAACGCTAATGATTTAATGCAGTTTTTCAAGTTTATTCCGAATAAGTTACCTAATTCGATTATGAACTTAACCATGATAATAAAGATCGCTAAATATCGAGTTATCTTTATTCTTGCGTCTTATGTTACCATCGAATGAGAAAATAGTTCAAAAAAAAGCTTGAAAAACTAAATAGGTACTTTTGTAAATCACGATCTGGTGATTATAGTGAAAAAAGAAACTTTCTCCTATCTCTTGTTACAAACAGGAAGATAGTTTCACAAGGATACTCATAGATACGTTCAATGAGCCATGTTGCAGCTATCGGAATTGAATAAATTTTTTAAAAATTGTATTAATTCTAAATCTAATCAATTAACAAAACAAAATAAAATTTTTTCATAAAGTTTGATAAAATGATGCAATCAAAATTTGATAATTTTTATTGAAAAAAACCGATTTCATATTTACCAATGCTATGATGTCAATTATTCGAGTTGTGTATAGTACTCTTCAGCCAAACAGTGGTCGACTCAAAATAAGAATAATATACTCTTGACGAACTCGTCAAAGTCTATCAAGCCGTATATACAGGAGTGAGAAAAAGAATCCATTTGGGTTTTGCATTATTGACATCTTACTTCATCATCATGAGGATCAGTTGTTGTTATATTCCACCAATTGACGTGACCAAAATTTGTTTGATTTATAACTTGAAGAGAACTTACAGGAAATTTATATGAATTTTCTGAAGGTACTATTGTAATAAGGCGTTCACATAGATTTGATAAACGTGTTGACCATAGTCTTAGTTTGTCTTCCATTGATATACTCCACAATGGTGTTGTCAATAAACTAAATTTAAAAGACAAAATTCATCAATAGCTAGAAATTGAAGAAAGAGATTTACTCGATTGTTTTGGTTTTTTTTGACGCAGCTTGAAGGACATCAAAAGCATTTGGAGGTTCTAAAGCAGTTTTAATTGAAGTTGAAAGTGCGATTGCCTTTAACAAAAATTAAAATAAAATTAAAACTAGTTTTTCTTTTTTGATTTTACTAATTGTTGTTGTTCATCATCTTCAGTTTTTGGTATTTCCATTTTAAGAACTCGATTTTTAATGTTGTTTCCTATTTGTTTCTTTACTGTAGTAATTGGTTTTGAATCATTAATATTTGTTATAGTTTTAGCAGCAAAATTAACAACATGTTTTAATTGAACACTATTTTGATTGGAACATTTTTTAAGATGTGATAAATAAGTATGTTTTGCATGAAATGACATTCCACAAATTTGACATCTGACATGGGATAACGTTGTTGTTGTTATTGTTGTTGGTTTTCGAATATTCGATGAAGATTTAGTATAAGATACTAAAGTTTTTTGATGTTTTGGTTCGTTCTTAATGACAGTAGGTAAATGGATATTTAAATTTATATCGAATCGAAATGGATACACAAGAGGAGTAAAAGTGGATCCTGATGGATTGTATATAAACTCAAAGGAATTTATTAGAATGCATTAGGATTCAATAGGGGTAAATAGATGTCGTAGAAGCTTGTTAGGGTACGAGAGTCTAGAATTCCATTTTTTCGCCTTTGCAATACGTGTGTACCTGGAGCTGAAATTAAACAGATAGAAAGAATATGAGACAGAAGAATCATTTCATGCATTCCTAATAAGAGAAACTTCACAGATGTATTTCAGCATTGAAGCCAAGACTAAGTGCATTATGTAAATTTTCATAAACTCCTAATACCCTAAACAGAGTTCGTGCTCCTAACTTATTCTTATGAAAATATTTCATGTTTAAGGCCTTCCTCTGGATTACTTGGAAAATAGACTTTCAGATTGAAGCTTTGCATGAAAATTTAGTATTTATTAAGGTCTGATTGTAGTGAAAAATAATACTTTTTCTTAAAGTCATTTTAAGAATAGAAGGAACTTAAAAATTTCGATTTTTCGTAATAGACTTGTCTCATTGAAACTTATCACGATGCAAAGCTTCAAAGAGTAAATTTGAAAGTTAATTTTCCAAGTGATCCAGAGAAAGATCACAACATTGTGCGGAAAAACACCAATCAATGACTTTTGAACTGCTATGTCTACCACGCGGTTCAGAAACTCAAGGTTGGAATACCTGTACAACAAATGGGACACATGGCGTACGGTCCTTGAGCAATCATTAGTTCTAATCAATTTTTTCAGACAGCTAGCTGCTTCTGCAGAACGATAGTTGATGAAATTTGAGCAGAGATTTCGCCAGAAATTAAAACTAAATGATATTAGAATACTCTTAAAGTTTCAGCGAAATCGAATCTATGTTTCTCAAGACAATAACTTTAGAAACAAATTTACAATGTTGTATCTTTCCTATAAAACAAGGCTACTTTTTTCAAATTCAATATCTGGACAAAGATATATTCGTTGTTGCTGGTAGACCATGTACCAAACTTATAGTATAGGTATTATTAGCTCAAGATTTGACAATCATGCTAGACATAAGAATTCAAAAGAAAGGAAACAATTGGAACGATTTTCCCATCAATGAAAATTTTTAGTAAATAGAAATCAAGTCTTATTGTAAGAATCTGGAAATTATATGGAAAATTTTCTATGACATACATTTATAATTTGTGGTTCTTCAAGACATCGATTAACATGCTGTTGACGTTGATCAATAGTACTTAAGTTGGATAAAACTTGATTACAAATAGGACATGTTACATCATTATTTTCGATTTGTATTAAGACTGATTCAAGACATTCTTTAATTGGATCATTTTTTTTTACAACAGAATTTATTTTTGGTGGATGAATAACTTTAGGACGTTTTCTTATCGTTATAAAGTCATCATCATCATCATCATCATTAATTTCAATAGGAGTGTTCTTTTTTGGAGAAATAAGTTTTGTTATTGGATTCATGACATTTTCTTTTGATGAACTAAATAAACTAAGTTTGATTACACAAAAAACACAAAGCAAACTTTAACAAAATCACAAACATTGTTCGTTTCTTTGATGTAAATTTATCCACAAGATAATTATTTCGTTTATTATTTTCATCTGTATTTCTTCGAATAAATGTTTGTTGTTGTTCAATAACAGTTCGTTGTCTTTTATTTAAAATTGATGTTACGATACGATTAACATGCTCATTTGATACTTTTGTTGTTGAATGTGTGAACATATCTTTTCTTTAATTAAGACCTTCTTGTTCACGACGTTTATTACGTAATTTTTTATATCGTTCGTAATTATCAACTTGAATTTGTTCGTGAATTCGTTGTTTTTGAAATAAATCAATCGCTTTTTCTAATTCTAATGAAATCCAAAAAAAAAAAAAATACCAATTATGCAAAAAAGAAACATCAGAAACAAGTAGAATAATTTAACAAACCTTGACTATTTAAACCTTCAGCACTGACAATACGTTCAATTTCACCTTTTTTAATACCTTCTATTGTTCTTTGTCTGATCCGATATGAACTTAACAGAAAGACATAATTCAATAAACCAATTTTTAATCATTTTACTTACTAATAAAAATAACCAAATGTAATAAAAGATACTGTTGTAATGAAACCAGCACCGAGAGACCAATAATAAAGTGGAGCACGATTCTTTCGGATGTCGTTCACCAAAGATACCTAAATACATTTCCATGAATATTATTATACATCAAGTTTCTTTTAAAATAAAGTTACTTCAAATCTAGAGTCATAGTTTAAAATGGAGTTAAACAAGGACACGAACTCATCACTCCTCACTGCTTTTGAAAATGGCTTACGAAGTGCCTCGTCATCTATTACTCAACCACTTTACATCCTAATCGTGCCTCCAATACTGAGTTATATTTTAGAATAAGAAATAATATAAATGATTTTCTAGTTTAAAGAATCTACTCGTGTGATTCTCTTTAGGAACGTTGGCTCAGTTCTTAACATTCAAAGTTTAAGTACTGGATGCGTGTCTCAAATTAACTGCACACATTCACACAATCAATAATAGTAGAAGTCGTAACTACGTCTATAACTTGAGTATGTAAATATCATGAATATTGTAGATATAAGGAATTCAACTATTTTTAAAAAATGATCATAATTCTTTGGAAAAGTGCAGTAGAAAAGGCAGGGTATTTGAAACATAATCAACATATATTATTAATACATGTTCTAAATAGATGAACATACAAGAGAATTTAGATGAATTTTGAAAAGATCACAGCAATAATGGTTTTTGAAATACTCAAAATATAGACGTTGTTAGGATTTCTATCTACGTCGATTGCATGAATGTATTCAATTAATTAAGGCGCGCATGCACTGTTAATGTTTACAATTCCAAGAACTAATATAACACAAAAATATAAATATTTGAAATTACAGCTTGCAGTTATTTTTTCTGTTGTTGATATCGACCTGATTCTTTAAGAACAATCAATGAGGGAGAATAATTTATACCATTGCTAACAGCTCATCGTGCTCTATAAATTGGTATAAACTTAATTGAAAACGAACACTGACACTTATGAATCTTTCCTTGTAAGTAGAGAATATACTTATAAGTCATGACATCCATCAAAATGGAATAAAAAAAAATGTCAACTTCAAATACTGAATAGATCAACCATAAAGAATGGCTCTCTCACTGTTTCTGAAATATTTCGATCAGTTTTTACCTATTGGAACATATATTTAAAAAGAAATTTTTTAAAAATAGCACTTTCTCAACATCAATCGCGACGTGTACAGTAAACTTTCTTTTGATACAATTACTCAACGCTACTCTGTCGGATATGGTTACAATGAACAGTTCTATTTCTCAATTAGTGATTTTTTTTTGCTTCAAGTTATGAGATGAGCCGAATTATCTTCTATGGTCGATGTGATTGGATCAAAATCTAGAGAACAGATATCTTAGTCAATTTTATTAATAAATGATGCAAGCTAGTCTTTGTGTCACAATTATTTCTATGATTGTGATCAGTTCAATCCAAGAATTTATGTCTTAAATAATAAATATCTTACCTTTCTCAATCGTATCATTCAACTATTGTCAAGAAAAATATCTAAAATGTACTAATATTTTAATGTTTTATTCCATCAAATTCATAAGATAAATTAATTGGATATTTTATGTTTATTTAATAATAAAAAAACACCGAATTTAAAGGGTTATATTCGTTCGCATATTGTTATCTAGCGTTACAATTTGTTTACTTTAATAATAACACAAGTTAACCATAATCGATAGAACGCGATTGAAATAACGAAAAAAAATTTCTTGCTGTTTTTATTTTTATTGAGAATAAAGAATAATACGTACAGAAGAAGAAAAAGAGGAAAAGAACACAAATATCAATGAATCAATCACTCGGTTTTTTTTTCACAAAAAAAAAGAAGAAAAGAAAAAAGCAGAAGTCAATAAAAATCTTCAGGATAGCCTTCAGGTATTTCACCTTCATATTCAAACATATCTTCTATATCTAAATCATCATCTAAATCGTCTTCATCATCAAGTAAATCATCATAAATAAGTCCATCATCAGGTAATGGAACATTTGCTGTATCAGTTGATGTCCAATCTGATATTAAACTATTTGAATGTGTTATAGTTACATCATATGTATTTGTATTTGTTGATGGTGATTGATTTTGTTGTTGTTCATATTGATCAGCTGATGAATTCGATGATTGTTGAGTTTCTGTATCAATTAATGTTGCTGGTGATTCAATTGTAGCAGCAGCTGATGATATAGATGATTGATATTGTAGATTAGGTACTATTTTAATTTGTATTGAATGTTCATCAGTTAATGATGAATTTATTATTTGTTCCGATTTTTTATTTGTATCCGATATTGATGGAATATTTACTGTTGTTGATGCTGTTGTAGAAGAAATTGAAGAAGAAGAAGGTGGTGTTACTTGATCTGTTGTTATAGTATTATTAGTATTATTATTATTGTTAATCGATGATGATTTAAGTAAAAGTGTTGTTAATTCAGATGGAATAACAAGATCATCAGGTAGTGTTAACGCAGTTAATTCTTTCTTCAGATCATTGGTATGACGTATAAGTGATGCAAGATGTTGACTTAGAGATGAACTAATACGTTTTTCAGTTGATGATGTTTCTTGTAATTCATGTATCCATGCTTCACATTGATCAATTATTTCATCTAGATAAAATATGAACAAAAGAAAAACAAGTATTGAATTTTTATTTTATTTATTTTTAAATATTTACTTCGTTTCAAAAAGAAATGTCGCCGTATAACATCAACAAAACAAGCAGGAGGACTTCGCAATTGTTCAAGCATTGCCCATCGAACTGTTGCTTGTCGAATATTAGCATCATATTCAAGCGATTGAGCGGTACCAGTTGCTGTTCCACGTGTACGTTCATAACCAGGTTCATTGAAATAAGGCTCAGGCACAAATATAAGAGATTGGATAGAAACAAGAACCTTTAAAAAAAATACAAAACAGAATAATTATTTTATAATACAAATGTTAGATATATTCAGTAATGATATTTTTATAAAGAGTTACAGTCTAAATCGAAGATGGTCTTCTCAATCTTGGACAATTTTCGTCTTTTCTACTAGCTCTAGGTACTATAAAATGAATTCAATTTAACAGTCTACATGAATAATTTGCTATCACTTTTTCATCTAGAAACAGGCTATTCCAATTTTTAAAGAATATTTCGAACTCGTTGGGTCCAAAATTTTTGAACTTGAACTCGGTTGAATTTCTGAAATAACCTAACAAGTTCTCAAGAATACTAAATGACTGCTACTGTCCAAACAAATGCTTTGATCCCAGTTACTGTTGTAATATTAAGAAGAATGTTGGTGCGAGTGAAAAGTAGCATCAAGAGTGAGAATGAAAACGAGGTCTATGATTCATTTCACTGTTTTTATGTGTGATTTTGAACTGGCCGTAGTCCTAACTAAGAACCGCAGGAAAGAACATTTCATGGAAGTAACATTTGTAGATTTCTAATTGACAATGGCAATATTATTGATCTTGAGGTTATATCGAATCGCCGCATAAATAATTTGTGTCTGACAGATCAATATGAATTTCTTTAGTTACTCTCTTGAAAACAAGTTTGCATATCATTACATAGATAAACATATACCATACAACCTAGAAACACCTATCTCGATTGGTACCATTGAATATACTGTCCACAATAACTGTGCGAGCTAATGTACTAATGAAGAAATCTTATCAAATGATAAATTGCTTTCGAGATTAGTCTAGTCTCATTAAGTAGGCTCTCTTGAATCTAGAGAAAATAAAAAAGGATTCATTTCATGAGTTATGCGTACTCCAGCAACTTTTTCGATTGAAATACATCTTATCTCTCACAAGGGAAGGCCACCAACTGTTCAATCGCTTTTCCGTTGAAACTATTTGCGTTATGTAGTTTCCAAAGAGTTATGAATACGCTGAAAATATTTTGGGCGGATAGCTTATTGTAACGAAAATAGTCCATTTGCAAGGTATGGGTTTTATTGAGTGCCTGGGGTCCCCCTCAGGAACATTAAAAAAAATTGATTTTTGAATTTCGACTTGAAACTTTACATGGAAAAACGCCTCAAGGAGAACAACTTTTTGTGAACGTTTCAGATCTTTCTAGTGTTCCTATCATTAGACACTGCTATGGTGAAATTTGTATTTTATATCCTTCAAATAAAGTAGCAGATTTGGTGAAACAAACAATCAAAAGGCCTAAAACTTTCAGAAAACACTATTCTCGTTGAGAAGTATTTCTATGTAAAGTTTCAAGTCGAAATTTGAAATCGATTTTTTCAATGTTCCTGAGGGGGACCACGGCAATCATCAAAAATATACCTTACAAATGAACTATTTTCGTTACAATGAGCTATCCGCCCAAAATATTTTCAGCGTATTCATAACTCTTTGGGAACTACATAACGCAAATGGTTTCAACGCAAAAGCGATTGAACAGTTGGTGGCCTTCCCTCGTCAGATCAACTGCAAATTAATTTTCGAGTTCAAAATTTTGTACTTAAAGAGTCGAGAGAGAAACAACAGAGATTTCAGTGTTGAAGTCAGTCGTTTCCTCCTCGTATAAAGTACTCTATAAGACTAATTAAACTTTGTTCTTATATTTATGTTTCAAGATTGAACATGCTTGAAAATCATACAATTTCACAATGGATGACCTATCCGATTCAGGACTTATACACTACTGAGCTATGAAAGTCAACCGTGCAGATAATTGAAAGCGAACTATGGTAAAAATTTACATACAGTAATCTTTTTTTTTGGCTTTTTCTAATCTCACTAGGCTCTACGTAATAAGATAAAATCAAGGAAAACAAACGTAAAACTTCAGTAGTTCTGATTATGAAAACTAATTTAAAATTACTTGTAAAAATGTTGATGTTGAATTCCATTTTTCTTCTGGTCTACCATGCCATGTATTCAATATACTTAAACAAACTTTACCATCATTATATAAATTTGGATTAAATCTAACTGTATGATTTCCTGTTGTTTCTAAATTAATTGATGGTGGTGTTGTTGGATATTCATTTGGAAAATAAACATCAAATATAAAACATCCATTTGAATATGGTGTACCATCAGGACCAGTTATTAATATTTTCATAATATCCATACGATTTTCATCTGAACGTACAAATATAGTTGAATTAAATGATAATGGTAATGATGTTGATATAGTTATTTGTTCTTGTGCTAAACGTTTTATTCTTTGCATTGAATTTATTGTTAATGCATCACGTACAATATCTTCATAATGATATTTAATTGTTTTATTAAATAATATTTTATCATTTGTTTCATTTTCAATTGTTATTGGATATGTACTAAATTGTAATAATTTCATTGTTTGACAATAAAATTCTTCTAATGTTATTAATTCTTGTTTATTATGTATATTTAATTGATTATATTGATCATTTTCAATTTGTTTATCTTGTTTTATTTTATCATAAACTTGTTTTAATTCAACAGAAAATAAATTTAATTGTTCATCATCATCAATTTGTATCATTGATGTATATGTTTGTACACATTGTAAAAGATTTTCAATTAAATATTCAATATTACTTGTTTGATAAATTAAATTTTTTAATTTATTATTATTTAATAAACAATTAACTAAACGTAAACAATAACGATGTATATCACCTTGTTTTGATATATCTAATATTGAATCATTACGTAAATATGATTCAAGTACAGGTATAAGACATGATGTATTTATGATTTCAATTAATTTATCATCAAGTAATTCTTCAGATAATTTATTTGAAAATATTGAATAAAATATATCAAATAAATAAATAACATGTTCTTCATGTAATTTTTGTATTTGTATTATTTCATCTGGTTTCCATTGTGAATGTGTTGAACCAGTACCAAAACCAGTACCTTTAGCCCAAAAATTTGAATTTGTATTATTATGATTAGTATGACTTGTATTATTAATTGTATTTAATTGTTGAATAGTTGTTGATTCAATTTGTTCAATATCATCTTCATAATATTCATCATCATTATCATCAATTATTGTTGCATTATTTATTGTTGTTGATTGTGTTGATGGTACTGATAATGATGATATTTGTGGTGTTGCTGTTGTTGTTGTTGTTGTTGTTGAATCTTTTTGTTTACGATGTGGATGACGTGTTATTGATGATAAACATGATAATAATAAAAGTAATATACTTGAATGTAATATTTCATCTAATAAATCATTTGATGAATCTTTAAGTAATATTGATAAAGTTTCAAATGGTAATTTCGATAATTGACGCATATCAAAATTTTCTTGATGTTGTTGTTGTTGTGTTTGATCTTGATATTCATTTGTTATAGATTCTTTTTGTCCAAGCATTAAACGTATAATATTACATGCAAGTGAACGATTTTTTAACATAGCACGTGCATAATTTGGTAAACGAAGAAATATTGAAAATGTTATAAATACATAATATGGCATTGTCATATTATTTGAAGAATTTGTTGTTGTTGTTGAAACTAATGATGAAAAATCAAAGAAATTTATTTTATCAAATATATTTGTATTTGGTGATGATGATGATGTTAAACATTCATCATAGGATTGTATTGATGGATAATTACGAGCAAAATGTTGAGCAAGAATTTTAAGACCATTGGCATGTACAAATGTATCAAGTAATGTTGGATAATCTTTATTGGCAACTATAGATTTATGTGTGATTAATTCATTTTCCTAAATAAAAATAAAATTTTGTTTTTTTTCTTTTTTTGATATTGATTAGAATTTAATATTGTTTTATAGATTTTGAATGTTCGAATTTACATCTTAATTTTCGACTATTAAAAAAAAAAACAATTGATCACAATCAGAATTTCTTGTTATTTCTGAATATATATTTAGATTTTTCTTCAAGATATAATATAGAATTAACTATCAGTAAGTTTAGTGAAAAAGTTAAAAATCGTGGTTTTTTGGTGGAATAATTTCAATTAAACATTACTAAATTATGTACAAAATGAGATATTAATAGGCAAAATTTTTTTAGTCTAGGTGTTATCTGATGACTTGTCATTTCAAAAATCGATAGAAAAGATTTTTTGCAACAAGATTAAATATTTTCAATTGAGAAAATTTTACAATGACGATCACACAAATGCATAATTTTCACCTTGTAAAAGTTTTTTTTTATCAGACGTCTGTTTATGGATGCTTCCTATGTGTATAGTATAGGGAATATTTTCGTTTAATAATACTTGCTGATAGCTATTTTTAAACTTTAATAATAAAAAGAAAAAACAAGATCACTTTGCTAAATTATTCATAGATTTTTTTTTCATATAATATAAAATACTCGAGAATCTTTGACATATTTGTTTCACAATCATATTTCTCTTAGTATATGAACATTCAGAAAATATTTTCTTCGATTTAATAATTCAACTTACTTGACCATCATTAATTAAAATATGATTATCAAAAGTAAATTCAATAACATCAACTTCGTAAGTATTCAATAATCGACAATCAAATGATAATAATAAATCACTTAATCGTGTAGTTTTTGGTAAAATACATTGTCGTTTTTGTCCATTAATATGTAATATAAAATGAATATTTTCTACAGGTGTTACTGATGAAGTTTTCTTTGGTATTGATGATTCATTTGTTGTTAATTTTGATGATAATTTTTGATGTTTAGTTAAATTTGATAATGAACTAATTGATTTTGTTGTTAATTTTCCTGTTATTGTTGATTTTAATGAAACTAATTCAGATCGTGGTATTTTTCTTCTTTGATTATTATTAATTGGTTCACTTGCTGCTTTTATTAAATAACTTTTATTTTTAATATAATTTGTTGCTGTCCATATATTAGCTTGTAAATAATTAAAACCAAATAATTTTTCAATTAATTGTCCAATATTCATTGATATTGAACAATCTTGAATTAATTTATGATAAAGTGAATTTCTTTGAAATGATGAATATTCACGTATATTTATTGGATAATCTCGTGTATTTATTAAACATTGTATATATTCATGTTTAAGTACAACTTCACTTAATATATATTGTAAATAACCTGTTAATGGACGATCTTGTTCAAGACGTTGTTCAGTTAAATAAGCTAAATATGATGATATTAATGACATATTTATTTGATTTGTTGGACATTGTAAAGATAAATTTCTCAGAAGTGTTATTAATTGTATTAATAAAATTGATGGTGATTGTATAAATGATGATATATTTGGATTATTAAATAGATCAAGTAAATATTTCCATATATTTGATGCAATTATTGTTTTTGAAAACCATATTTGAACATTTGAATATTTACTTATTGTTATTAAATAATCAAGTGCATGATAAATTAATAATTGATTTGATGTTTTATTTGATATATATTGAATTTGTTGATTTAATTCTTCAATAGATTTAATAAAATAATCATTAATTAAAATTTCATTAAGAAATTCAACACTTAATGAACATATTTTTAATTGTTTAAAATATTCAATAAATGATTCATTTTTATTAATATAATTCATAACTAATAATGGTTTATGATGTGCTATTGATGGTAATAACCATGAATAATTTATTAATAAATATTCTAATAAATTTTCATCAAGTTTAATATTATCTTCTTTTATTTTCCATAATATATTATTAATAATTTGTTTCATTTGATCATTAATTACTTGATTATTATTATTATTATTATTAACTGGTTGATTAATATTATTAATTAAATAATTAATATTTTTTTCATTAAAATTTAATTCTGATAAAATATTAAAATGATTATAAGTAATTAAATATTTAATAAATAAATCAAATTGTTTATCCGTACAATGATTACCAATAAATATAAATATTTCATTAAATATAATATTATTTGTATAATAAAATTTTTCTTTAAGTATAAAAAGAAATTTTTCAAATAGATTATCATCTAAATTTGAAGAATTTTTTAAACATAAATGTATTAATTGTAAATAATGATTAAATGAACGATATTTATCAGATAATATCATTGATACATGATGACTATTATCAATTATATTTGTATTTGTTGTTGAAGATTTTATTGATGAATACATTAATTTAATATCATCATCATTTAATGTTGTTATTATAGATGTATTTGAATTTTTACTATGTAATATTTGTTTACCATAAACTGTTGATATTAATGTTTGATATGGATGACTTGTTTGTTCAATAATCATTTGTTGATCATATGCATAATAACCAAATATTGATATTTGTTGTAAACCAATTGTATCATGATCAATTGGTTTATAAAAATGTATACGTAATTGTCTAACAATATCAATTTGTTTAGTTATAGATAAATTAATAATTTGTTGTCCTTGTGTATTTAATAAATAAGCACATGGTATAAAATAATAACCATCAGATGATATTTCACATGTTATTGATGATGGATATTGTGTTAAATTTGTATTTAATTGATCAATTATTGTATAATGATTAATAGATAATTGTGTAAATGGTACTATTTGTATGGATTTTAATATAATTGAATATGGAAATTGTAATGTTAATGTACAACGTTGTTCATTAGGTAAATATGTATATGACCATGGTGGTGAACGTAAACGACGTGATGATGATGTTATTGTTGTTTGAACATTATTATTTGATTGTATTAAAATTTCAGGTGATGATGCATTTGAATTTGAACATGTTATTTGACATTGTGGTGATAAATTTATTGAACCTATATCCATAGTATTATTTGATGATTGTCTTTGATCATAAATACGTTGTATTGATGGTATTTGTGTTTGATTTGATAAATAATTTGAATATATTATTAAATTATTAACTAATAAATCAAGAAATTTATATTGATTTAATGCTTCATTTAAAATTTTTATATTATGTATTGAATAAATAATTAATAATAATAATGGTGATGATAATAATGGATTTGTTGTTAAATAATGACATAATATTGGTAAAATATAATTTGGTTGTGATATAAATGATGATAAACAATAATAAATACTATCACCAACTGATAATAAATCATTTATATTTAAATGTATTGTTGTATGTATAAATGATGAATATTGATTTGTTGATGTTATTGATGCAGCAAGAAATTTTGTTGAAGAATTTAATGATATAGATGGTGATGAATCAAGTGATGAATGACACATTGAAAGTATTGAAAGTAGTTTTTCAATATAAATTGATTCAAGTAAATCATTCGAATGTTCATCATCAATATCATTTATTTTTATAGTAATTTCTTCATTTTTAAAACGTTTACGTTGTTGATCATGTGATTGATTTGTATTTTCTATAAGTTTTGTTATTAATAATATCATTTGTCGTACACATGTATCATATAAATTACATTGACGACGAATTGTTGATGATTTTGAACTTGTTGCTGAATCATTATTATTATTATTATTTGCGGTTGTTGTTGTTGATGATGATGATTGATTATTTTGTAGAGAAAGTTTATTAACAGTATTCATTAATTGCCATTTATTTACAGATGATGGAGGAATTAAAGAATTTGTTGATGATGATGATGAAGACGATGATGAAGTTGATATTTGACGATGATGAATTCGATCATAATTAAGAAAACATATTAATGGATGAATATCTGTTTGAGTAAATGATAATGGTGAATATGAATAACAAAATGACCAAACAAAATCAATTATATTACGACAAAGTTTAAGACGTATTGATGATGTTGCTTGTGAAAAATTTTGTTTAAAAAGATAAGTTAAAAATTTTAAATGACAATTAAGAGGACCATGAAAACCATTACTGATAAGACGATCAAGAATAGATAAAAGTGTATTAAGATAAAGAGTATTGATATTAGATGATGATGATGATGATGATGATGGAATATCTTGAGATTGATTTGATATATCTAGGAAGAAATTTTGAAACAACTACTTATTATTCAATTAAAAAAACAGAGATATTCATTATGACTTAAAAATTTCTCTCAACAATAGAGAAGAAAATTTTGAGAGCCGCAGCTACGATAAACAATTATGATAGAAAGAGAGAATTGATAAATTTTTTCTACTTTAGTTACATACACATATGTGTGGGACCAAGTCTTATTCAGTTTTGGTTCTAGTTCATGTGGTTCAGTTGGGAGTCTGAGCCCTATCTCCATTCAGTGTCGATCATAGGCTTACTCTCGGTAAAACTGGCCTAATCTTGACCATCATCTATAGTTTTGATAGTCCTGATTACAGTATTAGCAAATTCAATTTTGTCTTGTTATAGAGAATACCTATTCGAGATAGTATGCATATCATTGATTTAGTGGACGAGTGGCACTTTCGTTTTTTTTCAAAGTCATCTCTTTTCTCATGAATTGTCAATTGAAGAAAAATATCTATTATAAATCTTACCTGATGTTGCTACTCTTTTACTTAATTTAATATTTTCCGTAATATTTATATTTTCATCATCACACATAAATAATCGTTCAAAATAATTAATTATAATATCAACTGTACTTTCATCAATCATATCTTGTGTTGTTTGAATAAATTTTAACCATATTTTAGCAAATAAACTATTATCAATATCACCATTAAACCATAATTTTTTCATTTGTTTAGCTAAATCAATATTTGTACTTGTATAATATAATAAAGAAAATAAATGATGCCATAAACGTATTGTAACTAATGATGATTGTAATAAAAATTTTAATAATTTATCTAATGTATTAATTGACATAATAAATAATGGTTTTAAATTAAGATTTATTGGTGGTTGATTATTATTTAATGTTTCTGTTTGTATATTAATTTGTTTATGATTTAATATATTTTTTGAATAATTAGTTAATGATATAATTAAATATGATGATAATATATGTTCTATTTTATTAAATATATCATATGATATAAAATGTTTTTCTTCAATAAAATAACATAACATATTTTGATAAATATCATTTAATAAATCAATTGTTATATTTGAATTTGATATATTTTTTTTTGTTATTTCATATTGATTTTTATCATTAATATTTATATTTAAATTATAATCAATTGTATATTGATTTAATTGAAATAAATTTTTATTTAATAATGTTTGTATTTTAAATGATTGATTTATTGTAAATAAATCAAATATAAATTGTATATTACCATCAAGACGATTATCAATTGAAAATGGTATTATATCATAATTTAAATTATTTATTATTGATATTGGTTGTTGTAATTGTTGTTGTTGTAATTGTTGTTGTTGTTGTTGTTGATATGATGATGATTGACTTAAAAGTATAAGAAAATCTTCTGTTGTTGGATATAATATATCTTGTTCAGATGTTTTATTATTTTGAAATTGTAAAAGAATTTGTTGTGCATTATTATTAATAGGTTTTTTTTTTGATTTTTTAAATGCTGGAAAATGTTTTTTTTTATGTTCATCATTTAATTCTTTATCATCATCAATATCAATATCATCATTAATATTATTAGCATTATTATTATTATTATCATCATCATTTGAATATAATTCATTTGGTAAATAAATTTCATTATCAATAAAATCCATTAAAAAATAATTAAATGCATATTTTAACCAAATTTGTTCTGTATTTAATATTAATTTAATTAAATTTTCTTTATTTATATATTCATTTAATAATAAAAATGGTTTACATGAACGACTTATATCTGTTAATGATTTACATATTAATATAAATAATTCATTTGATAAATTTTTATTATTAATTAAAATTTCAATAAGATATTTTGAAACTTGTAAAACTAATGAATGATAACAATAATAATCAATTGAATTTGTTGGTGATATAATTATTGTTGATGTTGGTATTTGTGTTAACATAGCTGTTGATGATAATGTTGATGATGATAATGATGATGATGATTTTGTTGTTTTTTTTAATAATGTTTCTTTACGTAATTTTCGACGATAATTATTTGCTGAATTTGTTATACGGGGACTTTGTATTATTGATGATGTATGTAAAAATTGCCAATGTTTATTAATTAATTGTGAAAAATTTGTTTTTTTATTTGTTTGTTCATATGAATAAGGAAATAAATTTTTTTCTGATAAACGATATAAAAATAATAATAACCATTCAATTGATTGATAATTATTATTTGTATTTAATAATAAATTATATATATTATTTATATATTCAATAGCTAATAAACGATTATAATAAATAGTTGTTTCATTTGATGAATTTATTGTTAATAATGTTTGTTCACATAAATCAACAAGATTAATAAATAATGATTGTTGTTGATCAATTGTTAAAATATCATTTGATAAAAAATAACGTTGAAAACATTCTTTAACAAATTCTGGCCACCATGAATGATATGAACATAATTGTAATAGACGTTTTGGCATATCAATTATTTGTACATGACGAATAGCAAATGTATCAAAAATTTGTAAAGCATCATTTAAAGAAATAAATGACGAACATGCAGACAAACTAAAAATGACAATCAAATAAAAAACATTTTTTCAGTCATACTGGAATAGAAACCAGAGGTCCAAACAGGGCACTAGGGCTATTGCTCAACCTGATCCTGACCCGCCTGCCATAGGCATCACCCATGGCTTTCAGACTAGTGTAGGTGACAGGTCGACAGGCCAAAAATTGCTTGGACCTCTGACTTGCACTAGTCTGAAAACCATAGGTGATGCCTATGACAGGCAGGTCAGGATTAGGTTGAGCAGTAGCCCAAGTGGCCTGTTTGGACCTTTGGTTTCTAGTCTGTCATCATTATTGTACTCGCTTGAAAAACTTGACAGACCGTGCAGGCCTAAAAAACGTGGCCTGTTTGGACCTCTGATAGAAACTGTAACTGTAAAAATGTTTTTATAGTGAAACTCGGAAAAATAACGATTTATAAACTAAGAGTGTGGTGAGAGAGTAGAAGAATCACGAACACATCCTAATCGATTGTATCCTTTTCGAAAATCAAAAACGATTGGTAAACTTTTCATGAGAGGCATATAGGTTGAGCTTTTTTTTTATAACCAATATCCTACTAGAGAAAAATTCATTTTCCTTCATCCTGTAAGAACACCTACTCAACCAGAGAAATTCGATTAAAAAAAACTGCGTTTTTTTTGTTCACTTTTTTACATCTTGGACAAAAAAAAGTCGAATCTGAAGATAAGTAAAATATTTTCATATAATTTATCCAAAGAATAGAATTAATAATTATATCAAAATTCTATACCTATCTGTTTGTTGCATCATTCCAGATAATGATGTTAATTCACTTGTTAATAAATCAGCTAATAATTTTAAATAATCACTTGTTGGTTGTGGATCATGAATTTGTATATCTTCCATTTTTAAAAGATTTCTACATTGATTTATTTGTCTATGAGCATGATTTATTTGTATTTGTAATTGAATACATTCATGATAAATATTTTCAATAAAATTTTTTTCAACATTATTTGTTGTTGATAATAAATTAAATAATTTTTGTCTACATAATGCATAATTTGATATTAATGTTTCATAAATACCTTCAATTGATTTTAATTTTTTTTCATATTTTTCATTATTATTATTATTATTTGTATTCATATTATCATTATCATCATTTAATATATATGGATAACCAAAAAAATATCCAACAGGTAAACGTATTGATGATACAGATATATTTGATTGTCCAATTAATGTTATACGTATATAACGTGCTATAATAGCTGGTTGTAAATCATGTAAAAAAAATGGTTGATTTGATATATGTGTTGAAGAAAATAAACGTTGACAATCAATATGTTCACCATATGACCAAAAATCTAAACTTAATGATGCTAATTCATGACATGATGGTATTAATATATCAGTTAATGTAACTTGTTGTCCAAAATCTAAAACAAAATAACTTCTACCACCCCCTGATAAACGATCAATTATAAATTGATATAATGGTAAATATTGTCCATGAAGAATATTATTTGATATTTGTGTTAATATATCATCAATTGTTATTTGTTGTTGTTGTTGTTGTTGTTGTAATTGTTCAAAATTTTCATCATCAATTGAATTTTTATTATTTGTTAATAAACGATTTGTTGATAATGTTTGTTGATTTTGTAATGTTAATATTGTTTTTGATGTATGTAAAAGATCTGTAAATAGATTTGAATTTTTTTTTAATATTGATGTTTGTGTTGTAGCAGCTTTATTTTTTTTTGCAATTAATTTTAATTTTTCTTTTTGTAAACTTTGTTTATCTTTAAATTTTGATGCTAAATGTGGTAACCATGGTGATGTACTAATTAAATTATTATTTATTTGATTATCAATTGTTGTTGTTGTTGATATTGGAAATGATGTAACTATTGTTGATGCTGCATCATTTGTTATTGATGATGATGTTGTTGTTGTTGGATTTGTTGTTGTTGTTGTTGGTAACATATAAAGTGTATCATGATATGCATTTATATTTGGTGTTGGAAATGAAAATGGAAATGTTGTTGTTGCATTAAATGTTGATATAGCTGGTGGTAATGGTGGTGGTGGCATTGAATTTGATGTTGTTGGATTATAAAGATGATGTGAACCAGCTGTAAGTGTAACATTTGATGGTGGTGGTGCATTTGTTGCTTCATATGTTCGTAATGTTAATAAATGTGTCATATCAACACATTCAAGACGTGTACCATCACTTGATGAATGCATTGTATAATTTAATGGTGTTATTTCAAATAGACCTGGTATAGGTTTTAAATAAACATTTGATGATGAAAGTGAATTTGGTAAAAGTTTTGATAATGCATATTGAATATTTGTTGAAGAATATAATGTTTCAGGATCACATGGAATTATTGGTAAACCAGTTGTACCATAACGTGAATAAATACGTGGATCATAACAATTATCATTCATACCAAGTGGACGTGATGATTGAGATGTATTTGTTGAATTTGATGATGATGATGAATTTAAATTACGTTGACGTAGACTACATTCAATTAATGTTGATAGATCAACATCAAATAAATGAGCATCAAATGGATCAGCATAAAATCCAAATCTTAAAAAATAAATAAAAGAATCATAATTATAATCTTATTTTATATATATTGTTCGTACTACATATGAGAGTGTATTAAATGAATGGTGAAGAAAACAAGTTTAGAAAATATTTCAGTAATACAAATTTTTTTCTCATCAATAGAATTGACTAAGGTTGTGTGGTTAATAGAGACAATTTGGATATTGAATAGTGAAAACTTCTCAAAAATAGATTTAAAATATTCGTATTTCTCTAATAATTTAATTGTTTTAATTCCGTAGGATAATTTCGGAGCCTAATCAGAACTGGAATTTTACTTTCGGTTTCGAGCAATGTTCGGAACTACTGAAATCTAGGTCAAAGAAAGAGAATTCAAATTCATATTATAGATCAAAATATTTAGATCTTTCTTCTTCAGTTATGATTAATAATTTACTAAACCTTCATCATATTGTTGGATATAATGAAAAACAATTGTAACACGAAATTTTCAAAGCGATAGAAAAATATATATTTTTTTCATGTTAGTTAGAGAAGTTCCCTTTGTTAGATCTTTAATATTAAAATTTAAATATATTTACTTATTTCTTAATTGTTGTCTTTGTATTGTATCAGTTTTTTGAATAATATCAGCTAATTGTAATAACCATTGTAAAAGTTTAGTACCAATTTGATATTGATATTGATTTGTCCATTGTCCAATAATAATAAAAAACCATTTTAATGCTGCTGATGATTTAAATCCAAGTAAATATTGATTATTCATTTGAAATAAATTTAAAAAATTTTCAATAAATTTTTCCATATCATTATCATTTTTAATAATCATTAATATTAATGTTGTCATACGTTTAGCTATTGTTCGTGATGCATTTATAAATGTATGTTGTAAAAATGTTTCATTTAATAATAAAAATTTTATTTGATTAATTATTTTAATATTATTTGTTGTATAAATAATTGATATTAATAAATTTAATGAAAATAATATTTTTTTTTCATTTTTTGTTGTTAATATTGTTGATGTTAAACAATTTATTGTTGAATTATCATATAAACGTAATAAACGTGTTTGATGTTTTGTTGAACGTAATGTTATTGATATTGTTTCAATAGGAAATAAATTTTGTTGTAATATTGTTTGATTTATTATTGTTGAACATTTTGATTCAAGTACAAGACGAAAATGTTTTGATTTATATGTTAATAAATCATATGAACATAATTGTATAAGACCTTGATCATGTATAGGTGATTCTAAATAATCAATTAATGAATATGGACCAGCAAGTATATCATCATTTGAAAAATTTATTTGAGAATTTAATTGATTAAATTCAATTTTTTGATCAACATCATTTGGTTCATTTGTATAACGATATAATGTAACAAATAAATTTTTTTTATATAAATTTTGTCGATTTAATGTATAACGAAATTCAATTGTATGTAATATACATGGTGTTGCTGTTTGTAAATCAAATATATGTATTGATGGTATTATTTGTTGATTTGTTGATTGTTGTTGATTTATTTGAGGTTGTTGTAAACGCCATGTATGACGATCAATATTTGTTTTTGTTGTATCAAGTGTATCAATCCAATAGGATGAATTAACATGAGCAAAAAAATATGTGACCGGTGATGAATCAAATGATGTAAATGATAGAAGTGAACGAAGAGTTGATATTGAATATGAATTTGAATTTTGATCATCAGTGAAAGATTTTAATTGGGAAGGATTCGTAGAAGATGTACTCGTTCTTTCATCAGATTGTATATGAGTAAAATAAGATGGAAATAGATCATGCATATTAAACTAAAGAAAAAGAAAAAAAGTATGAGTTAGATTTTTTTTTTGTTTAATAAATCGTGGTTGTTTTCAAGTAGAAGTTAACTCATTTAAAAGTTTTTTTTTTTGTTGTCCTATATGAATATTTAGAGCTAATAAAGAAAATCTTCCAACTGATTAATTAATTTTGAGTTGAAATTATAGACATCATATAGATCTAAATGAGTTTTGAATATCCTGAAAAGAGTTTCAATTATTAGCTTATTGATATGTAAATTCTAGAAATTGACAGTAGTTTTTAAAATGAATGCTGTAGTTCTTTCTGGGGATATCAGGAAAACTAATATTCGAATTTCGACTGGAAACTTTCTGTCATTGTTTTTTACAGCGTTGTGGTAACTTAGGACAGAAATTGAATTTTGAGAACGTATTTGCTTTTCTCTAGCAGAAATTCAAATAAAATTAATCAAATAATATTATTGCGAAATTAATAAGAGTAAAGGCCTGTCAGCAGATCTTCTACTCAGGGAATTGAATAATGATGGGTTTCGTTCTTGGTTCACTGACCACTACTTCTAACACTCTAAAATATTTTTTTTTCATGTTGCAAGGAACACAAAATACAAGTCGCTATAACCTTTCTGTAAATGGAAAAGATTTTGCTACAAAACGTAGTAGTTATATGTTCTTTTACCTTTTCTTTTCAAGAAATATATCTTGAATTAGAAATCCCTAGATATATATATATATATCTAGATCTTCTCTATGACAAAATGATTACTAGATAAATTTTGACAAACCTTTTTAACACCATTATCAGTGATCCACGCATAAAGTATATCTGTGCCTCTAACATGAACACATTTTTCAACATTTTCAATTATTTGTCTATCTGCTAAAATACCAATATTATTTTCTTCTTGTGTATTTTCTAAATATGTCGTACGATAAACATCATAAAGTAATAAATGTCCAGATTTAAAACAAATTAAAAAACATTTTCGTTTTAATATTTTATTTGTATATTGTTCTTTCTTTTGACATTCATCATTAATATCAATATTATCATCATATTCAATATCTAAATTTTCATCATTATCACTAACTATTGATTGTTCATCATTATTTATAATATCATCATCATCTAATATAATTGGATTTATTGAATCAATATCAATATCATTTGTTGATGATTGATAAATACAATGATAAAAAATTATTTTTAATGTTAATGTTATTTGATCATATTCAATACAATAACCATGTATACAATCAGTTGTATTTATTAATAAAATCATTTTTGTTTTAGTTAATTGATATATATAAGCTTGTTTAGGTATATATTTAAAATTTGAAAATTCAATTAAATAATCATATTTATTATTTATTTTAATTTGTTCATTTATTATTGTTGTTTCAATTGATTCATCATTTTGTGAACTATTTTTTATTGTTGATATACATGATGGATTTAAATTTTCATATTGATTTATTGTTGTTGTTGCTATTAATATACATTTATTTGTTTCATTTAATTGTAAAAAACAAAAAATTATATAATTTTCATTATCATTTGTTATTGTTAATGGATACATTGTTAATGCAAGTGGATTAAATTTGAAATTAAAATAACGTTTTGATGTTAAACGATCAAAATGTTTTATAAATATTGTTTCATTATTATCGGATAAAATATTTTCTTCTAAAATATTTTCTGTTGTTAATTGTTCAATAAGATTTTTTAATGATATTATTGTTTTTATATGTATAACATTTGTTGTATCAACTGAACGTATTATCCAATCAGAATTTAAAAATAATAATATATGTTCATTAAATATTAATTCATTAGATTTTATTAACCATTTTTGTTGTTGTTGATTTGAAAATATTTTTTTTCCTGGTTGAATTGAACATGTTGTACGTAATGGAACATTTTCAGTAAAATCACCTTTTATAAATGGACAATTTGGAGAATGACGTCCATGTTCTGTCCATGGAGAATCAGATGGTTCCCAACAAACAAGTGTTACAGTACAAGCAAAACATAATGCACGATCATCGTTATCTTTTAATGGAGAATAATAGAAACCAGCTTTAGCCATACTTTCCTAAATTAAATAGCAACAAAAAAAAAAATTTTCTAATAATCAAACAAATTATTCATATTCAACAGTATGATATCATATGTTTTTATTTCAAATTTTCTCAAATCAATGTACAACACTAACAGACAGATTCATAATCATTCAAGTTTGATCAACTCTTGCTAAGAATTAGATGTCGATTAGATATAAATAGGCATATATCGTGCTCGAATGCCGCCGGCTAAGTTTTACCTTGTGTTTAAAAAAAAGATTCATGTGTTACTTTTACTCAAATTACTTTTATGATTGTTTCGGCACGTAAATGGCAGACCAGGCCCGAACAATTCTATCTCGATATAAAATTCTGTTTTTTTTTGTAAAATTAAAAATTTTTGTTCGTAATAAATTTCAATAGTATGATGAATGATACAATTTCTAATCTAGTTCAAGGTTTTTTTTCAATATTACATGCAAAGTAATAAGCTTTGTTGAATTATAATGTAACGTCTCTTTATGAAAAGATATTCTTAGTATTGATGCGATTGTATCAAAGATGTCTTTTTTTTTGTCAATTTAAAATCCGTGAAATATTTTCAATAAGTTAATGAAGAAACGTTTTCTTACTAGAACTTTATAACAATATAAATATGTTATCTGAATGCTTTTCTTGAGATTAATAGTAACAATTCCATTGGTCTAGTTTCTTTGGAAATTGAAAAAAGAAAAAGTTTCTCAGACTCCTTTTTACAAAGTTGTTTACACAGATCGATAGTTTAAATAAATCTATTAGTTAAGAATAATGACTATGTACATAATCTTTCCGAACCTAGACACGAACAAGATTGAAACTAAAACATTACTACTATACTTATAAAAACATATCCTTCAAACTTTATGTTAATATCAATGTTGCTAAACTCGGAAGCTGAACAAAGATTACTCTTGACTAGAAACAAGACTGCCCAAGCAGACAAAAATTTTGAAAAACGCGTTTAAACGCACAAACGGGAATCACGATTGTAAATCATTAATGCTCATTAAAAAAACGCACGAAAACGCATTTATTGGCGTCTTTTTGTAACATTTTGGCCGTCAAAACGGCGAAAATTCCAGTTTTTGAGCGTTAAAACGAGCTATTACTCTAGAACTTACAAACAATACGTTTTAACGCTCAAAAACTGGAATTTTCGCCGTTTTGACGTCCAAAATGTTACAAAAAACGCCAATAAATGCGTTTTCGTGCGTTTTTTTAATGAGCATTAATGACTTACAATCATGATTTCCGTTTGTGCGTTTTTCAAAATTTTTGTCTGCTTGGGTAATGATTCAACAATGATTCCAAAATCTCACAGAAAACCATGAGTTATTGACGGATACATAAGAAATCGTGCTTCTTAGCGACACAAAAAAGCTAACTCGTACTATATCTAAATCTTCTTTCAATTGATATCAATTCCAAGAAACTGTCTTTAAATACAATAATTTCGTAACTACAAAAGTCAATATTGACTTCGGCTGCGTATGCAAAATTTTTTTTTTTAAATTCTTATAGTAGAACTCAAATGTAACATAAAGTCTGACATACTGGTGAAAGCCATCGATAAGCTGCATGTGGCCAAAGTGTAAATGTTCTATATCGTGTTGCTTCACTAAACATTAAACGTTCACGTGTAGTTCGTCCACCAGCATTAAAAAAACTGCTCGTTGATGTTGATGTTGTTGTCGTTGTTGTTGATGATGATGATGATGGTGATGATGATGTTTCTAATGTTGAACCAATTTGTTCATCTGTATTTGTTGTTAATGATTTTTTATGATGATAATATCTTGTTAAATAGTCAAGTAAAAGACCAATAACAACAATACCAGGTAATGATGAATATGTATTTTGATGTTGTTGTATTTGATGTTTATGTAAACGTAATATATCAAAACAAATTTTAATTGCATTAAGACAATCATATGAAAATTGTATTAAATTCCATAATGATGATGATGTATGTTCATCAAATTTTTTTTTTAATAAATCATTAAATTCTCCAATATGATTTGATGTTGATAAATCTAATGTTGATAATAATTGTAATAATAATTGTGCATCACCATATGTTAACTCAATAAAAACATGACAATTTTCATCATTTATTGATCCAATAATTGAGTCAAGAAAATAGAGACCTTGATATAATTGTCTTACATAAATATGTGTTGATGTTAATAAAACAAATTTATCATGACAGGATATTATTTCATAATATTCATTGATATTATTTAATGGTAATGTACGATGAAATAATGTTGATAATTGATCAGCACTACGTACAATTATTTCTTGTTTATCATTAAGATAAATTAATGAATTTAATGATGGATTATAAACTATTGAACGTAAATGATTATCAATCATTGTTGTTGATGATAATAGATTTTCATCTGTTTTAGAATTTGTCGCCATAGAATATAGTAGATAAAAATGATAGTTTAAATTAAACTCACCATAAATCTAGAAATAAATTTATACTAGAGTTTTCTATAAAAGAAATAAATTATTATTTTTTTTCATTGTGTAATAATGAATGATTAGATTGGAAGTCATTATCCAATCAGATAGATATGTTTATTATAGACATCTAACTAGATAAATAAATGAAAAATTTATTTCCTATTGGTACCTATGAATTTATTTTATTTAAATAAATTTTAGATAGTTTATTGAAATAAAGTTTCGGTAATGAACGACATCTAGCAATAATGTTTCCTATGATAATTATTAGGAGAACCAAAAATGTGAAATTGTTATTAACTGATGATCCAGAATAAATCTCATCATTAGAGGTTCGATATTTAGATCTAACCAAGAGTTTTGACGATGTTACCGACAATTTCACAAGACAGTTAATATTGAAGAGGTTGTTATATAAATAAATAGTAGAATGTTTTTTGTCTATGATAATCAATTCATTTTAGATTTCGTTCTGATTCTCTTTCACATGAAATCCAGTTCGAGTAGAAAGAAAATTCGAAAAATAGATCATAAATTTGATCGGTACACTATGAAAATTTCGACTATTTTGAGAATAGATGCAAAGACAATTCAAGAAGAACTTATAACTTGATTGGAATTTAACATTCTATCATATCATATCAAACAGTTGCAACGTGGGAAAAATGTTTTTATGAAGGACGAGATGTCACTGATTACCTTCCATCTGGTGGTCGAGTGTTCGAGCTGACAATGATATTATAGTTAAGAATTCTCTCTCTTATGTTACAATAGAACGCATTATGCATGATTGTCTACAGATGAGAAAAATTACATCATGTTGGGTGTTTTATCAACTCAAGGATAAATAAAAGCAAGAACAAACAAGAATATGTCATAGAAACCTAACGAAATTGTATGATGAATGATGGCGATTATGTAATATTATTGCAAGCAATAAAGCGTGGGTTTATCATAGACACACTATGCAAACAAAGCGAGTTATATGAGTGAAAATGAATCATAAATAACAATTTTTCGCCGAAGTAGATTCGAACTAAAAGCTTTGTTTTTTATGCATTGTTTAAATTAAATGGTATTGTTCTTATATGTAGTGTAGATAAACACAAGATTACAGGTCATCAATAACGGACGGTCTGTAAAGAATGGTACTCTTTTATTTTCTTTGTTTTTTGAAAGACAACAACATAGTTTGATGACATCCTTCTAAACTAAATTGAAATGATTGACAACCAATCAGCAACTGATCTGCGGTTGTCACAAAAGAGAACAATCATTAAAAATACGTTTAAATAACAGTTCCACTGAAATTCGAAATATACTGCAAAATATTCAGTGAAATGCTGCATCTTGAATTGTTTCGTAATTTTAGAAAAAACAAATGGAAGCAAAATTTTTGAAGTAAAACTCAGGAAACAATATAAAAGATTCTTTCTGATAATTGGATGCCATTGTTTGTTTTTAATTCGGCATGATCTAAAGATTTTTATTGTTCGGTTTAGATGTTACATAATTTTGTTCAGAATCCCAATTCTGCATTCGATGATATAATCATAAACTATTCATAAAATACGGAAACTATTCAAAAACACAAGTTTCAAAAGCATATTCCAAATAAAATACCGCCAGATATTAATTCCAAGTCGTTTGCTCGTAAACAATATCATTAAGAAGAATCGAGAAGATCTTGGGGCAAAAAACTATAGATCTGTTTTACGGTAGCATACTCGATTGTTTTTATTCATCCAGATGTGATTAATTATTGAGTACACGAACATATCAATATTATGTCGTATCCATCGTTTTCATTAAAACCTTGCACCATATGATTTTTTTGTGGAAATGATTATGTCAAACGTAAGTTAAGTGATCAAACAAATGAAAAATCATTATCTCACACGGCTTTCAAGGTGGCCAAAAATATGTCAAAGGAAGAGATTAGAAAAAAACATTTTGACAAGTTGTTATAAAAGATGGAACTTTGTAGAAATAATTATGGCGACTGTATTGAACATTTGATAAAATAAAACTAGCAATATATCCTAATTTTTATATTTTTATCTACTACTGTCAAAACTTTTGGTCAACTACTATTCGTGTCGTTTCCGATTTGTATTACTTAGATTTGAACTTTTTCCAAAAGATTTACCACGCATTTTTCTCCCAATGTTCATAATAGGAGATTTTACAGTGAACAATGGCACTGAAAAATTCTGCAGGAAAGATTAAGAGGCATGAAAGTGATGCATTTTCAAACATTTTCTTCTGTTTTTTTTTGTCATGCTCAAGCAACTAATGCATTTAATATCAACAAAATCAATATTCAATTGTGTAGCTCTTGAAAAATTCAATCTGTTATTGTCATTTCGAATTGTTTGCCTGCTTGGATCATCTGGGGAAAAAAAACAATTTATTTTTGAACTTCACGAGTTATTTTTTGTTACAAAACTTTAGCGTGACATCGTATAACATGTGCGTTTTTATCTTAATATTGTTCTTGACTATGTATTTTTCGCTCTATATACAGAGCAACGACATTGATATACATTCAATTATTTGATCTGAACAATGCGCATGAGAAAATCTTTCAGCTCTTTGAAATCTTATACTGCACGAAATATCTCTTTTTTACATCATGACCTCCTTCAAGAAAGCTTTGCTGAGTACAATAACAAAAAAAAAACACAATTGAGAAAAGACAAATTTGCTTCTATCGAATTAGATGCTTGGTTGTTGAATAAAAATACGGATTAATTTTTCTTAAAAAAGCTGTTTGTCAAACAAAGTCACTTCTTTCGTGTCTCACAATCTGTTTCGAAGAATTTTTTAGTATGAACTTTTTATAGTAAAGTCTCTTACAAGGTATTGTACAGAATTATCTGGAAAATATTTTGAAAAAAAAATCCGCATATGAGAAATGAAAATTGGGGTTGATATAATTGAAATTCTATGGGTGAACTTTATTCTTGACCATCCATTTTTTGATTTATAAATAGCATTGCTACCTCGTCCAGTCTGAAAAACAAAAACGATTTGGAAAGCTGTTTTTTTTGTGGACTCGTCCCATTTCTATCGAATTATATAATTTGTAGCTTCTTTCCATGACACTTCTTTATGTGTTAGCTTCTAAAATATAATAAATAATACATAAAAAAGATAAATACTTCATGAAGCATGCCATTTTTTGAATGTAGTTACATATACTATTGAAATAATTTTCGATTAGTAGTTCTTTTTTGAGATTACAGATACTTGTGCATGTTCATGCGATAATGAAGTATTTCAATACATAGGTCTTTCTGCAGCTATAAGGTCTACTGACTTTCAATTGTAAAAATCATTGAGAAAATGTCACATTTCTGAAAACAAAAAACATGTTCCGAGATTGGCGTCTTTTATTGGAATAGAACACAGAAAGAATCATACAAACTGTATAGACTGTAGAAGACAATGATCACAATTTAATGTTAACACATTTTATTATCCCAAATTTTTCAATAAAAACTAACAACAAAATTTTCTCATATGAAAAAATGAAACAGATTGCAACTCTGTTTCAAAACAGTGGTTCAATTAAAAATAATATGAAAAAAGAAAAATCTTGTTGAACTGTTGCGAATTTCATTTTTCTTGTGTAGTTATTTCTTTGGTGAAATGATACATCATAGAAGATGAAAACGAATGTTTTTTTTTCGAATTTATGAATAATAAGTTATTAGTTTAGATTTTTATGCGTCAAACTTGAATATATAAAGCTTATACTATTTTTTCAGATTAAAATCATCTTGTTTATTTTTTACGATTCTCTCTACTTTTTTTATTCATTTTCGAATGTGTTTGATTCGAACCGATCGATCAAATGGATCCAAAATGTTTATATCACCATTGCTTTAATTTGCTAGTGAGTCAATACAATAATCTTCATATGAAACAGACATGAGCCTACCATCGGATCCCTGTGTTATATCTAGTACCATACTTCATCTGTAGCAATCAAATTCTCTAATATGGCAACTGGATGAACCAGTATTAAATTTAAATGTCTACAAGTGTAACATTCTAAAACTAAATGAACGCAATCGATTAATAACAACTGTTGTAGTTCAATTGAATCATTAGCAGTGTAATTCAAACCACTTTTTTGTTTTGTGAATACCATACCGAGAGTGACAAATTTTCATATGCTATGAATACCTTTAATTTATTATTAATAATATTGTGACATGTTTATATTTAAGTTAGATGAAATGCAGATAACTTAATTGAGTGAAATTTGATCTGACAGGAATGTTCTAATCTGTTGACTAAAAAAAGTCGCAACAATTAATTAAAATGAGTGTGAAATATATTCTTTATGATGCTTCAAAAACTTGAAATTAATTTACATATATTACAAGGTCATTTTATTCGTCTCTTTGAATGTTAGAAGATGTAGATTTTAATTCTAAATCAATATTGAAAGCATAAAATTAAACAAAATTTATCATGATTGTGATAAATTAGTTGAATAATAATGATTATTATTTACATGATTGGCAATAGATAATTCATCTCTAGAAAAAAAGAAATCGTTTATTCTATAGTTTTTTCTTTTTAATTAGGTATTGTTTGTCTTCTTCAGAGCTAAAATTAATCTAAAATTCTCTTGTTAGGAATAATTAGGCTTCTCTATTCTGTTTTTTTTTTTTTAACAACTTGAAGTATTGTTTTATTAAATATTGTGGTAGTATCTATTTTAGATAACAAACAACAATTGCTTTTCGCCTAGATTTTTCATTCGCAAAAATAATTTCATTTAATTTTCAATATATATAAATTACGATGAAATTTTAGTAGGAGGAAGTAAAATGTTTGTATTTGTTGAATTTTCAAGAGCTTGTTTGCTTTCTGATAGATGTTTCATTTTCTGTTGTGTATTTGAAAAGCAAACATTGCATTTTAAATAATTTGTATTGATGATGAAATGTTTATTGATGACATCAACGATAAGGTCATCTATGATTTTATCATCGAAGATATGGAATTATAAGTGTATTTATAGTTTTTTAATCGATGATGAAAATCAAGAATAATTTGTCGTTATATTCTACTACTGTTTCTAGATTAAGTAGAAATGGTCAAAAAAAAAAAGAAAATAAATGCAATTTAGAAATATCTACTCATGAAATATAATGCAGAAGAACAAAAATAAACTTGATAGTGATTGAGATTATTGACACAAGTGTTTTAAATCCATAATCAGATAATGACCTTGACAGGCTTACATGTAAGCTTGTTATTAATTATCTATCATTGAATTATAGTAAAAATAAATTGCGTTCGTGATATAGTTAACGTGTTTTATTTTTCGACCATGTCTATCTTGTGTAATTTTTACGACAATATGTATATAAAATATTTATTCCATCTTGTAATATAACTACGTCATTCGTATAAAATTGTTTTATTATTAGTTATGCTAATTTCAATATATTTTTCAATATTGATTGGATTAATTTATATGTCTGAATACATTAGGATTAATTAATCAATGATCGATGTATGTTTGATATACATATTTCTTTCAAAACTTATTGTTCTATATTCTTAATAAATAAATATAATCAGTTAAATACGTGATTAATTGAATACAACTCATACATATCTATAAAACACATCAATTAGGTTTTTATATTAACAGCAAGATATTTATATCGTTTTTTGTCAATTGAGTTATTCATTTCTATGTACGCTTGTTTTCATACTAACGATTTTTACAGATATAAACTTACTCTTACTATAGAAAAAAAAATGAAATCAACAAAACGAAAATCAGTCAAGCAAAACCTCATAGTTGCTGCTATGCTTACATTCGTCATATCTGATTTGTCATGCGTAACAATCATTTAAAAGGAATGCAGAACGATAGTTATAACAAGAACATAAGATTGATTCGTTATAGTCAGTACATGATATTTTAATATAATATAAAATTGTAAGTTAAAAAATTTATACGTCGAAAATATGGATAATAATAATAATAATAATGATCATTCAATAAAACATGATAATCGTTCACGTGGTTCAAAAAATCGATTAAAATCTTCAACAGTACGTGATCCAAATGGTTCTATAAGTACTTTCAGACGATTTTATCAAAGTGGTGGAAGAGATTATGAACAATATCGTCTTTGGCTTCAAGCATTATCGAAATCTGACCAATTACCAACGTCATCGAATTCGTCAGCTAAAATTAACGAAGAGTAAATAACAAATGAAAAACATCTTTTTTAATGATGAAAAGAGAAATAATTATATATTGACTTTTTTTTTCTAGACCTATTGATATGGCGTCCAATATAAGCGCTATAGGGTCCCACGTAGTAGTATCCTCATCATCACCGCCATTACATTCACAACATTCGATATCAATACCAAGAGTTGCACGTACATATCCTTTATTGAAACCGATGCGACACCAAATACCTTTACGAAGAAAATCTGAACTTTCATTACCATTACCGACATTTTTGTCTTCTATAGCGGCAACAACATCATTCAAACCTCAAATTTATATTCCATACAATTATTCTCATATTTCAAGTGAATCTTCATCATCGTCATCATCATCATTTATGGAATGGTCAGTAAGTGATGTCTCTCAATTTATTGAAAAACATTTTCCTGAGAAACATATTGCTCGAGTAAAATTTTTTTTTTTTTGTTTCTTTTCTTAGTCATTTTAATTATGTATTTATTTTTTAAAGAAATTTATGCAACAAAAAATCGATGGACGTACACTACCATTATTAACTGAAGATCATTTAACCAAAATATTCAAAATGAAACTTGGTCCAGCATTACATTTACTTACTCTTATATCTAATATGCAACTAAAAAATTAATAAAATAACATTTAACAATGAAGGTTTTTGTATAAATCATTTATTATAAATGAAAAAAATATATTCATGCGATGATGATGTTAACGACAGGTGATAAATATCTAAGCTCGACTCACTGAGCCGTGTATTGACAGAATAGAAATATGCATAGAGGTGGATTAAAACATAAATATGTGTTAAATAAAGTAGTAGATAAATAAAATGGATGAACCGGTACATTAAAGCGATACGTTTCATTAAATATAATACGAAAGTTGATTTTTATATTTGTAAAGAAAGATAAACATTTTCAATATACTGTACTAGCCTAATGACATTCATTTTATGTATATGCATTGCTCTTGGTTTTTTAATAGAAGTTTTGTCAATTAGTACACTGTTATTATTATATTCGTTTTTAGGTTTTTATTAGTATTCATAAAATTTTATTTTATTTTATTATTTTAAATGATAATTGAGCACAGTTAACAAAAATTCTTTTTATCCTATATTGATGTAGGCCAAATTAATGAATACCAATGAATGATATACAATCATAAATAGTTGGATATTGCCTTGAGAGATTTCATGCTTGAAATTTAAATATTTTAAGTTAGAAAAGTTGAAAACATTCTCATTATTAATCATTCATATTATTGTATATCTTCTTCAGGTTTCGAATAAAACGTTTTCTCTATAGATATTAATTGATATAATTTTTGACCTTTAGTTATGTTAGTATTGTTTCTATTGCAAAAGACAACATTAATATCAGATTATTCGACTAATGTAATTTTATGTTCAGATTCATTCTTAATAATTATTCATCGCATCCTCATATATAGAACATTAAAAAATCTATAGAGACTTTGAATAATTCAATAACAATGATAATCATTTATAAATGCACTCGAAGTTAAATAAACATGCTTGTTAATCATACTATACTGATGTATTACGTCGCTCAATATTGGGATTGTATTTATCTGTATTGTATATGGCGAAACGCGGTCGTAAACAATAAAATGCGAAATGTTTATGGTTTTCGTATTTTTTGTCGTAGTATACTATTCATAGGTTAGTTTGAATCTAGACGCGTAGATGCTCTCTTGCATTATCCTGCGCAGTCATTTGGAACATACTTTATAGATGATATCTATTGTACAGAAAGACAGGCTAAGGTGAGTTTCCCATTTGTAGATCGTATACTTATAGTCGATGAAAAATTGTTTTTCATCCCTTTATTTCTTTTTTGTATTCTTTGCTTGATCTACAGCATGAAAACAAAAACCTATTCAACCATATTAAATCCTGTATAAGATTAGTTTCTTTTTACTGTTTTGTCATTAAAATGATTATGTTCGCTTTAAATATTTCATGCTTTTATCTCTTATAAAGCGTAGATTTTTTTTATATATTTAGTAATCAAATCGTCCCTATCGAGATGGTAGTTTTGTTTTGCAGAAGAACAACAAGAGATAAAATAAAAATAGGTCGTCATGAACATTTGATCTAAATAACATAAAGATAATTTTATTATATTGCTAAATAGAGAAAGTTATGCCGCGTATCGAGCTACTCTATTATTTTCTTCCGATTTATTGCTAGCATATTCGAATAGCTTTTCAATCGATCGTAGTCATCCTTTTTTTTTCTGCACTCTCGCTATCTTTTTCTTGATGAACATGTTCCATCACATTAACATATAACATAACTATGTGTAAGCATACGGAGATAATAGTGTCATGTTCAATCTTATATGCATTTATTTGTGCTCGGTTTCTGAAAGAAAAATGTGCTAATTGAGATTCTGGTAAGACTAAAAAAAAAAGAAACAAATCAAACAGAGGAAATGATTTGAGTCAGTCAATAGAAGAGGATTATTGTTTGTGTGTGCAATGTTGTTAACAACATCATGCGATAATAACTTCCGTCTGGCATAAATTTCTATGAAATAGAAATAACAAAGTAGCAGTATGATCGTCATTTGTTCGTTTGACGGATACTTTGAGACAGCTAGAAAAACAAGCATAACATTTTGATATATTGACTGCATCGGTTCTTAATAACTGAAATGAAACATATATAGACGACATTTATTAGTATCGCTTTGATGTTGCATGCTTAAGAAAACAAAGAATTTTATATGAAGAAAAAAAAAGCCATATAAAAAAAAGGCTGGTTGTCGTTATTAACGTTCGTAAATTAATTTAAAACAGTAGCTCTTGTCATTGTTCGTCATTTCAAGGTTATATATTACACAATAAGAAGTTTTTTTTTTGACTAACAAAATTCTCTCGTAATTTGAAGAATGTGCACTTGAAAACATTTTAGTTACCGGTGAAAGCAAATTGGCAAATCAACATATACATACAGAAGATATTGTTTATTTAAACCTATAATGCCAGAAATGTCACTTGGGATCCGAAAGAAAAACTAACATACATATAGTTAAGTTTTTTTTTTTTTTATTTTACAAATTGCAAATAACAAGCGAACAATAATAAGTATTCTCGACTTATTCCATCTGATCACTTTGATGTTTTAAGATAATTTTTTTCCAATGTCATGCACAAAAAAAATCTTCGTATTTTTTATCTTAAGATGACACATGCTCAATATTCTCTTTTGCTTTCTATTTCTATAAATCTCAATGAAGTAATAACAAGAACAAAGATAGAATGAGGGAGAGAGAGAAAGAAAAAAAAAACTAGGAAAACATGAAAATAATGCAGATAGCCGACTTTTTTCCCCTTGCTATCGAACGATGCGACGTGTTTGGTAGAGGATCGACGTCAGGCATTTGCACTCTCTCTTTCTCCCTTTTACTGTCGTTATAATCCAGCGAAGAACATCTTGTATTGTGCGACTAACAGATTTTTTGCGTGTGTAGTTTCGAACCTCCTATGTCGCCAGAATGGATATCAGAGAAATAAGTGAAGATGATGGGTTCCCTGTCAGCAACGATAAGTTCCATCCATGATAGTCGTGCCGAGAGAAAAATGTTTATATTCAATGATCGATCTAATTTATGTTTCGTTTCCTTTTTCTTCTTTCTTTTTTTTTTTGTTTTTTTTTTCTGTAATCTATCTTTAGAATAATATGACAGGATCCATCGAGATATTGCTTCATATTACCACTACTAATAATAATAATCCAAACAATAATCAATGTCGAGCAACTCAACGCGTAAGTTGTTTTATAAGAAATTAATTTATTATCTTAGTAACTTGTTTTTGTTGATTTTTCTTTTCTTAAAGACATAATTAAGCATAAAATACTTTAGATACAATGATCTTCACATTATTTCAGACATAAAATGATTGATTAAATCTAATGAATACTTGAATTAATGAAGACTCTTGATTTTTTCATTAAAACGATCTCATTATAGTACATTTCTTATTTTATATAACCTATTAAATTGTTTTCTTTTCTGATATTTAACTTATTTCTCATGAGATTCTTTTTTTTACCATTCGTTTATTAAAATTAATTTTTGTTTACAGTTGTGAGAATATAATAGCAGGACGTATTTTTTAGTTGTAAGTAAAGGAACAAGAATCTTCCTTTTTTATTTTAAAAATTTTGTAAATTGCAATTTTTTTCTTATTTAAAGAAGGCTCATGTTAGTTTTCTTCCGCTTTTTTAAGTTCTATATATATATCATTTCTATTATTTTTTTCCAGTTAGACTATACTTTAATTTCCTGAGTAAAATTATAGTTGAGCAAAAGGAATAAGAATGACAATGACTAATCTTCATTTGCTTGGTGAAGTGTTTTTTCTTGAAAATAAAAAGTGTAACATCTATAATACTGATAGATGTACTTAAATACCAATTTTGAAAATAATTTTCATATATTTTCTTTTTTCCAAAATAATTAAAAACAAATTATTAAAAATAAATAAGTTTTGATCGATAGTTTTCCTAAAGGAATTTATTCCGATGTAAATTATTGGAAAATTCTTCTTATTTAGAAGATATGGACGAAGGTATTTATCGAATGAGTTTTGCCGAAAGTCTACTTGTTTTAATTGTTATTGGTTTATGGTTATTAGCAATTATTAGTTTAGCAAGAAAACTTGAAAGAATATGTAATCCTCCATCAATATTTCCTAACTATTCATTACATGCTAAAGCAAGTATAAGTCCATCTTCACGACGTGATCGTCATTCAAACGATTCAGTACAATCAACACTCCCACCACCGATTAATTTTGTTCGTGCAACATCCGAACCAGCTATTGATGCATCACCACGTGCAACTATTTATGTTCGTTCTCCAAGTGAAACATGTCTACATGTTAAATCAACATCAACATTACGTATGTCAGCAATGTCACAACATTTAAATTCACCAAGTACACTTGAATTAGGAAAAAGTGGAATGAGTAATCGAGCTGGCTCACTAACTATTCCACGTACTAGTAGTTATCATATTCGTGTTGAAACTTCCAAACGACCAATGACAACACAAACATTATTAGATCCGAAACGTATACCATCGATTGTAAGACGAAGTCTTTTAGATTTACATCGACGTACTTTATTTTCGAATACTACAACAAATATTTCGCCTATTCGATGTATTGTTACGGCAGCAAGTAATAACTCAAATGGTAATAGACCACATACAACAATAACAACAGGAACAACAACAAGTGCTAAAGTTCCATTATTGAATAAATATCGTAAAGCTAATGAAACAGATGAAGATGATTGGTATCGAGGTAAATTGATTAATCTAATCACAAAAAATATTTTTGAAGAGTATCCTGTCGATATGTTATGATGTTTAAAACTAGTTGCATGCCAACCATTGAATTTTTTTTCTTTTCTTTTCTTCCTTCATCTTATCAAAAAAGAGAAAAGAAACTTAAAATAACAACAATGAGTAAACATATAAAAAAAAAGTCTAAAGAAAAATACATCGTACATATTTTCATCAGTTGCTACTTTTTTCTTCTTCTTCTTCTTCCAACGACGATGTCGTATTTTGAAAAAAAACGAAAATATACAGAAATTTATAGTAAAACTGAACATTTACGAGGATATTTAGAAGAAAAAGTAAAACCAATTTAATTTTATTGAATTCTCTTTTAATTGATTTTATGCCTTGTTTTTTTTTTTCAATTTAGACTCGCAATCAAGCGACTAATTTGTATCAATTTCTTAAACCATCACAACGGTATGCTGTTCAAATGGAACAATTTCGTTCTCAAATGAATCTCAATTATCAACCACCATTACCACGACCACCACCACATGCATCCTGGTGATCTATTCTATTGTGATATTTCAACAACGGAACATTTAAATCGATGCAAACGATAAATTCTATATATTATTTTTTTTTTTTTACGAAACTAATTTTTTTTGACGGAAAAAAAAATATTTATTATATACAATTTGCAAATATTAGAAAAAAAATTGGTGTAGCGCGCATGAACAAATTTGTTCAAAAACAAACTTCAGAACGAAATTATCATTAAAAAAAAAAGCTTTTTTTGTTGATATCGAAAAAAAAAAACAAACGTTTTCTTTTGTTTTTATCACCAATCTTGACTTATTTCATCTAAACAAGATTAAAACCTTGATTATGTTGAATGGCTTCCAGTAATTTAGCTTTTAAAATTTCCTTTGATGAATATGCTGGTAAATCAAGAACATTAAAACATGTATGACTAACAGGTAGGTGAATATCATCGGTATGACTTCGTTGAATTGTCATTGGCTTAAAAAAGAAAAATATGTAAAAGTATATTAAATCTATCTAAATTATTTATTTACTAATGTTTGACTCCATCCAAAAACAGGTACTCGATCAGAACCGGTAAGAAATACTAAAAAACAAAAAAATATAGAGATATGTAAAAAAACAAAAAAAAATAAAAGAACTATTTTTTCTCATTAAAGCAGGAAAAACAAATGTTTGTCTTAAAGTACATACGACAAGTCTTTTTTTTTTCTTGATCTAAATTAATAATAATTGTCTTAAATATGCAGATTGTATAGTCTTTGAAGCAACATTTTTGACCTTGAGAATAACTTTCAGAAGCACTTTTCTTTAATTATACGACATTTTTATGCTAAGATTAAACGAGAACATTAATTGCTCTAAAAATCATTATTCTGCCTGCTGCTTAATTATGTCAACTTGTTTTGATCTACTTTAAGACCTATCTATGTGTACTATAATAATATGAATTCTATCATATTTATATCTAATTTACAATAAATAAGAATATAATCTAGATTTTTATTTTCTTCTCAAATAGAAAATTCATATCTATAATACACAAATATATGTGATAATACGTTTGGACTTTGAATCTATTCTATGAAAAAACACATTTTATATTTTAATCTTATTAAGATTATTCTCGACGCTACTATTCCCTAGAGGAAAGAAGATTTCATATAAAAAGAATGCATCGCACTCAAACATTCAATATTGATCTTGACTACAGCTTTGTTTTAGTTAATTCATCAAAAAGAAATAGAAGTAGGTCAAAAGAAAAGATTCCTGAGAATTGACTATGATATATTTACTCATTATGAAATAAATAGTTTACAGATAACAGAAAAAAGAAAGCTTGATGTTATTCAGAAATACTCGAACGTTAGAATATTTAGATGATTATCTATATAGTTAAAGAAATATTTCTGTAATTATCTAACTATTCGATACTATCAAAGCTGTTTGGATAGTTTCTGCATTGGAATTCGAACGTGAATTATTTGTCTTGAACATCAAATCAGAGTTTAAGTTTAATAAATGCCTATAGAAAACTAAATCAAAAAATTTTCATAGAAAACTTGTCAATCTATAAATTTCATAATAAGTATGTTAGAGTTAATAGAAAATCTTTAGGATACTTTATTAAATTGTAAAGATTTTATGATTCGTTTTTTTTTATGAAACCTTTCTTTTTTTTTTTTTGTTTTTGTTTAGTATTTCTATTCTTAGAGTCAAGTAGAACTATTATACTTTTAAACCGAAGAGATTTATAATGAAACCATAGAAGTTATTTAGTGGAATATATAAGAAGAATTAGAAATACATTGCTTTGTTTCTGATTATGACAATTTTCAGTTTCTATTTCTGGCTTTTGAATTAATCGCTATGAATATTAATGTAAATCGTAATGCAATTTTTTTTTCTTCATTGATGTTCATCTTTCTCTTGACTTGTTCTTGTCAAATAAAAAGCAATCATAATTATCGAGAAAAAATACTAATTTGTCAATTGAGAAGTATTTATTCAAGATGTTCTGTTACCTATCAATATGTGTTATTTGTATTGAATTTGTCACAAATTTCTTTTTTTTTTTTTTATTCTAACTCAATTAATAATCGCTAGATCGAAATAGATTTGTCTCGTTTTTTTTTTTATAATGAATGTTAGTGACATGTGATAAATGAAATTTATTATAATAAGAAATGTACTTACAAAGAAATTTCTTTTTTTCTGCTTCACTCATTTTATGAAAAACTTGCCAAAACCATTGACTAAAAGAAAAAAAAAATTTTTTTCTTGAAAAACAACAACAATAATTTTTCTTGTTGTTGACTTACATTACAGGATGATTAGCATGATATTCTCCTTTATATTCTGTTTTCTTTTGAAATTCATTCCAATCATAATGAGTATTACCGACCTTAAATTAAAAAAAAAAAAACAAAAACAAAAATAAACGATCGAAATAGTTTATTTCTTTTTTTTTATCAATATAAACATATACCACAAATGACATTAATTCATCGGGATAAAATAATTCTAATGGTTTAGAATTAATAACACGACGAAAACCAGCTGAAAAAGCTTGAAATTGTATCTCACATGATTTATTAAATATATAATCAATATATAAATCAACAAATTCTTTTTTATTATTTTGATTAACCATTATAGATGCACCACCTGGTTTTAATTCAATTTCACGTTTCTCACCATAAAATTCACGTTCAATAATAAATGCAAAACAAAGAGTTGTTTCAAGATCATCATTAGTATAATTTAATACTGATGTAAGACTTCGATAGATTGCTGGAGATAATGATTTCATATCATCAAGATCTATTTTTCCTTTTTTTAATAATTTTTTATATAAAGCTAATGGAAATGGAAGATCAATTATTGTTAAATTATAAATAGCTAATGCACAAAGTGTCTACAGAAAAAAAAATCAAATAATCAAATAAATTAAATCCATCAATCAAATAGATTTTTATTTGTTTATTTTTCAAAATATCAATATTCATCAACAAATTGAATATGATGAACTTATGTAAAGTTCCCTGAAAAAATTTTCTTTTAATCCTGTTGCGTATAAAGACATAAATAGTATGTAATTAATTAATAAAATTTTTCTAAAGTACTTGGAAATAATAACAACTTAATCCGATATCCGATAGATTTGATGATAAGAAAATTTTATGATCTTTGAAAATAGATAAATTTTGTTTTACAAAAAAAAAAAAATTCTTAAACAAATCCTAAGACTTATTAATCATCTATGCAATTTCAAAATTAACTTTAGTTCTTAAGGTTAAATTTGAAAGATAAGTACATAAACATAAGTTGATGTTTAATTTTACTATATAGAAAAAAAAAGTATTCAAAACACTTTTAGCAGTTCAATTCCGGTTTATACACAATGTTCGTTTAAAATATTTATATCGATTTCTCATCTAGTATTCTCATTGACAGAAAGTATTGTTGATTTTTAATTCTATTTGAAAAGATAATAGATACAAAAAAATATTATGAGACAACGAAAGAGCAACAATAAAGTAACCATTAGCTTAATAACTTCTACGAACAATAGAACTAATTCTGTTACTTTTGTTTCTATTGTTTTATTAAATCTCTATACAACAATGCTCTTTTGTTAAAAAAACGAAAAACATGTCAATCGACCAAATTAACACGACATCGATTTTGTAATTGTTAATCTGTGTGTCCATGTTTCAATATCATAATCTACTCTATTACTAAACTTTATACTTTAGTTAGCTGATTTCTATAAGACAACTTTTTATTTCAACAGTTCTTAAGATAGTGCAAAAGCCTATATTGACAAAGAAGAAAGATATGAATTTCTTCACTCTTGCACTCAGCTTAAATTATAAGTTGCAACTAAAAATAAAACCATTAATCTATAAAAGTTAGAAAATATGTTAACCTAATTGATACTGATACTTACTCCTATTAATTTATATAATGCTATATCTTCAATCATATATTCACTAAACCAAATTGTATTAGTTTCTTCATAGAATACTAATAAATAAAAAATATAATAAAACTAAATTACATAATTAGTTTTTTTTAGCTTTTGTCTTACTAAACATTCCATATTTTGGATCTAATATTTCTTTAGTTAATAAAAGAAAAAATTCTTTACGTATTCCACCAGCATCAAGACCTTCTTCATTATTAAAATAGACTTGTAATGGTTTTTTAAAATCTTCTTCTTTTTGTTTATCTAACTAAAATTAAAATTTCATTTTTATTTTCTTATTTGAATTCGATTTTTAAATTTTTACTTGATTGACTGTATCTTGAACAATTGTCTTCCGATTAATATGTAATACAAGTAAAGGATTAACTGTATCTACATGTGCACCGAACATAGTTTGAAAATTGTGTAAAAATGCATTTTGAATTGCTTCTTGCATTTCAAGTTGTCCATGATATTGAAGTAATACTAAAAATTATTATTATTTATAAACGAAAAATTCTCTTTTTTTTTTTTTTAAATTATACTTACGAATCTTTGCTTTGAGATCAAATAAAAATGAATAATCACAGAATGAAATAATTGATCTATCCTAATTGAAAATAAAAACAAAAACACAAAAGAAGATTTGTTATTATTAAATGTTATATGTTCGTTTATTTTACTAACTCCTATGTGTTGACGCACTCGCCAATAATTATAATCTTTTTTCAGATCAATTGAGTCATTAAGTTCTTTCATATAAAATGCATCATAAGCTAATAATTCAGGTTTAGCCATATTGCATGAAACCTATTTATATTACAAAATAAAAAATATTTAACCTTTCGTGTTTCTTTTTAGAATTGAGTAAACTCTCATTGGCAATAGAAGATATCGGTTCTTCTATTATGTTTAAGCATGCAAATTTCCCAAGGGGTCTTCTATTGTATTTCAGAGGATCAATTAAAGAATTTTCTGTTTTTTGAAAACTAACGATATTTTTAGGGTTTGAAAAACCGACGAATGATGTTGAACTCAGTCTTTTAAGTTTT